TATATATAGAAATATAGAAGAGTCAGCAATTTGAAAGTTTCCCCTAGATGGCAAAGTTACTGATTTCTCTTTTGCTATGATTGAACATTTTTCTTGAACAGGTTAGAATGAAAAATGAATTCAGGGGTAAACATAGCAGCCAAAATGGATAGGAAAAAATGCAGTAGATATTACGATATAATATAAATTTCATGATAAATTTTGCATAATGTACTAAATATTTTACACGTAGGGAATTTTTAAGAATTTTTATAGTCATCAAAATAGAGAAACTGCAATATTTTACAGTTATGACTGACATTAAACATACTTGAAATGTTACGCATTATATTTACTCATAATTTTGAATATTAATAGGCATTTAATTCATCAAAGATAGTTAGATAAGATTTTTTAAAATTAATTTAAAAAGAGACTTCCGAATTAAAAAAAAACTGAAAATTTTATAACAAAAAAGTTTTTAACTGATTTCTATGACTTAGGTTCGCTTCATTATGTATTAGTAATACTTATTTAAATATAAAACTAGGAGAATTTTAATTAAACCAGTAGACAAGAAAAAACTGCCAAAATCCAGTAGAGTTGGCAGCCATGGGATAATAATGATTTGAAAAAGGAAAGTAAATAAGCAATTAAAAAGTACCGAGTGTTCAAGTTTGAATCATCAGCACTCCAGCCTTCCATTATCTCTTCATCGTACAAGAGAGAGGAGCAATGGTGGCAACGAGAACAGGTAGTCATCACGATCTCCAGAGCCACTCTCTGACTGTTTTGGCTATCATTCTGGGATGAACTCTGTTTCTCAAACATTTCATATACCTGAGAGGAAAAGACCGGTGCGCTACCTAAATAAAAATAAATAAGGATATTGCTTTAAATCAAATGAGATCAAACAAACATTTACGCAACATCGATATTCAACATATATTAGCAGGGTGGCCACTTAAATATAGAAAAGAAAGTCCCTGTGTTTTCCCTGTACATATTATGCACAATATATTAAGAAGAAACACGCAAGCACCATGCTCCTGTGTGTGAGCTATATTGGGCTAATTATATTGGGCTATTTAATTGCCCTATTGGGCTATTTAATAGCTGGAAAAACTTAGAGAAATAAGGAACAGCTCAGCATAGTATTTAAAACAAATAAAGCAATAGTAAATAAAATAGTTTAGTATCGTTGAAATATCATCCTTAAATATTCCATAGATAAAGCATTGAGTGGTCACCATTTTTTAAAAGAGAAAAACAAGAAACAAAATTCCCTGTATTTTCAGGTTTTCCCTGTGGAGTGGCAACCCTGATGAGTCAGCAATCAACTGAATATTTCTAAACTTTAATCAAACTATCGAACACAGGGATGTATGAAAAGGAGATTATTCTTGGTAGAAATTACAAAGTGATAGTTAATAGGCATTCAAGCTTCACCCCCTAAACATAAGCTTCCATACAATTATTTGTAAACAGATAAAGAACAAATAATTTTCACTTTACTCACATATATGATATAAAATTCAGAAAACTGATTCATGATTTTTACGATTTTAAATGAATTTTTACTTATGAGAGAGAGAGAGAATCAAAAAGGTAATGAGAAAGAAATTCAAATCATAAAAGTGAGGGTGAACCAATTTTTTCAACCTTACATTTTTATAAATATTGTAAATTTTAAATTGTGAAAAACGACAGTGAAAGATACATTATAATATGGCTACCCTTTAGTGAGTATGCCAATGATTGTCATACTTAAATAGAACAAAAATATCAATTTTGTCTCAAGTAATAAATTTAACCCAGAATTGGCAAAAAACACGATTTTTCAGATTTAAAACAGATTTAAAACAGATTTTTCTTTTTGATTTTTTTACATTTATCAATCAAGACTCAGATGATAATCATTAATAAGGTTTAATATTATGCAAAAACATTATAATTAAAGCCAATAATATTTTCAACTTAAAATGATTAAAATTAGTGAATAATTATTGAAAAATAATCACCGAATAAATGAAATCGTAGTGTTTTTTATGCAAGCTCAACACTCTCATGGGTTAGTAAAGGCAAAGAACCAATTTTTCAGTTAGATATCGAATGAAGAATAAATTATTTCGATCAAGAAACAAAACAAAAAATCAATTTTCTAAATTACTTTTGATAGAATAAGTTTATTATTTATAGACATAAATCACACAATTAATAAGTTTCAAAAGTAATTGTATTTAAACAATAAAAATTAAATGGGTACAATTGAAATGCTATTAATTCATTGCCTGCAGCTGTGTATACATACACTTCCCTAAGCCAATGCGTTAACTGCCCCTGGTATATATATATGTCTTTCTGAAGTATGCATTATGCAATGTGCTGCTATCAGTAAAACTGCTTCCACAGATTTGGAATGCAATAGAATGATCTTGAGAGTGTTTTCAAAGAATTTCAGACAAATTGAGTCAGGCATGCCTCTTCTTTTCTCCAGTACACACCAAAACACACGCCGTTGTGCGAACCAGTGGCACTGGGGAAGTGAATCTCGAAATTTTCTTAGGCAGGTAAGCGGTTAAACAGCAAATTATTTTACATACAGCTAATGAATAATTATAAAGTAAAACATCTCCGCAACAGCCCATTTTAATCTAGAGTGGGCAAGGCTCCACAATTTTGTGGCTAACGACATAATTTTGGTAATGTGTTTAGCAATGCGCACAGGCCGCCTCTACTTCCCAGACATGCTGGTACCTTTCAATCTGAAGCTGTGGGGGNGGGGGGGGGCGCTTCAAGTTGTTACTGGGGATCGAGCTCCAGTTCTTCACAATGACAGTTCAGTGCCTTAACAAAGGATGGTTTCTAATTATTTCTCTGGCAAAAACTTTAATATTAATAAAATGAAACTTTAAGAATGTATTTATAAATTACATCGAAAAATAAAAACTTTTCTGACTCTAAAAAATAAAAAAAAATCAATTAAATTGTGATTTAAATGCTAATCTTGATTTTTATATTGGATGGGGAGGGGATAGTAGAGATCAACAAAGTCAACCTTCATCTATGAAAAGGTACCTCAAGATTGAATCGAGTTAACATGTCTTATATACTAGTAAATTGGAATTGTATTTTTGTAGTGGCAGACACACTACAGTACTCCCCCACCAGAATTATATCTATGACAGAATTCGATGAACGGATACTACTAGTTGATTCATTGCTGTTTCGTGAGAAGCCGAGAAAGCTGTATTAAGATCACCGTACTTTCAAATGCTTCTATGTGGACCATCCATCGAAGTAGGCGTGTTCAGATCAAAGTGGGTGTTACTGTGAAGACAGGCATCACGTCCTGGTCAACAATATGGGGACAGTTGTTATCGACTATGACAACCTTCATCTATCAAATGGTACCCCAAGGTTGAATCGAGTTAGCGTGTCTTATATATTAGGGAATTGGATTAGTATTTTTGTAGTGGTAGACACACTACAAATGGTATACTAAAACAGAAATAAACTCAAGTGAATAAAAGAGGAGTAAACTTACCAACATGGTGTAAGGTTCCAGGTGAATCCGATTTCACGGGCGTTCGTTCTCTGCCAAGAAGACCACCGAGGGGTGAATCGCTTACATCAACAAAACCGGAATAATCCATACTGATACGATATCCGTCAGACATTAAACCACCAGAATCAGTATCATCATATATGATTAAATCAATATCTTGTTGAGAACTCAAAGGTGTGACATCTAAGATGAGTCACACGGTTAAAACAAATATATAAATTTAAATCTCATTTCAATATACTCTTAAAAGCAATCATGTGTATGAAACTCAAAAGAATATCTTTCCTATGTATGATCTTTATACAAAGCTACAATTTTCAAACGATTTATAACCAAATACATTTGGCCACAAGAAAAAAAAATCACCTTAATAACGATTAGTATCACCATAGTAGGATTCATGCCCTGCTTTAAAAACTCATTAAAAAAAATCTTTTCCTTTATTATTAATAGCTGAAGGGATAATTTAAAATAATTCTGAGTATTGAATTTCATCATTACTTTTCCTTAATGTAGGTGTTTTATCAGTCCAAACTTAAATAAAACCATTGATAGTTCAAAGATAACTTCTTGATTTGAAACTCTTTGTTTTATCTATCAATTAATAAAATATTAATCAGTTAATAAAATATTATAATTGTGGATAATAATAGAGGGATAATGGGGATCCACTTGTGAAAAGGAACCCAGAAATATGGACACGTTAATTTCCAAAGTCTAACGAAATTATTAAGACAGATATATCGCGCCTTAATTGTAACATAAATGAATTTTTTAAAAAAATTATCGATTTCTATTTTTATTCTTGGTTCTGAAGATATTTTAATTCTTTTAGTTACTAATTTAGTTTTAACAAATCTAGGCACAACAATTAGTAAAGCATCAATATTGAAACTTAATAATAAAACAGTGTTTTATTTAAAGAATGAAAAGGAACTTACTTTTTGTCGGAGTATTAGATGCAGAAAGAGAGGTACGGAACTCATTCAGCTTCGAGGATACAGAGGTGACAGCTGATTTTAAACCTTCAAACAGAACTTCAGAATGCCTCGAATTTATCTTTGAAATACCAAAAGAGGAGGAACTTAGAGGTAAACTGGCTGGTGAGTCGGTCAAGTTACTTTCTGAAGAATTGTCAATTCTAGGAGTTACGGGAAGGGTGGATGATCGGGACATGGACTTCCCAACGGAATTGACCATCACTGCTGGGACGCTTTCCTTGCGTTGCTTGAGTTTGGGAACTGAATTTCTAGCACCACTATGGAAAGTTGAGCTGCGGGACACCTTGCTGCCAGTTTTCCGACGAAAAGACTCTCTGTAGACATTGCCAAAAGTAGTCGTAATATTGGATGCAACACCTTTAGCACTGCTTGAAATGTCCCAATTAAGCCATGCTTCCTTCAAGGGACTGAAAGTTGAAGATAAAAAATCTTGAGAATTATTTAACTCTGCTTCTTCGGAGAAGTTTTTATCCTCTGCGGTACTCGATAGAGAACCTTCCTCGGACGACATGTTAGAAACAGTACTTTTCTTAGACTCAACAGATATCTTCCTCTGTTTCTCGATGAGCACGCCAGAGGACTTGTGTTTTACCGGAGACATCTCCTGTTGCTCCGCTTCGGGTTCCTCGTCGCACCTGGTTAGGACACAATTTTTGGAAATTCTATCTTTCTCTTCCCTTTTCTTATCAAAAACAGTCATCTTGAGAGGAGAATCAATCCACTTTGAGATGGAATCGTAAGAGTCACGGCCCGCTCGGATCTTCCTTATGATTTGAGCGTCACTACCGAAGCTGTGAGATCTTAAGAAAGGAGCTTTACTAGTCTTTTCGTCAGGAGTATCAGATATCGGTTTATTGGGGGAACGTAGATGGTAATTTAGAGAAGAGCAGTTGCATTCTCCAGCACTCTTGTGTCGTCTGCGAACAGGCGTGTCCAGTTCACAGAATTTCATGTCTTCTGTCAGAGAGGTGCGACTAGTCATAAGTATTCCAGCACTGCTGTCAACTGAAATGTTATAAGATAATTAAGACAATAAGTAATACAAAAATAAAATTTGCTATTTAATTTTATAAGGCAGTGTTTCCCAAACTTATGACTTTTGTGTACCCCTTCTAAATTTTTCGTAACGCTGTGTACCACTAATAAAAAAATGAGTATTTTTTTAAAAATATGTTCATTTTTTATTAACTCTGCAAAAAATAGCCAATAGAAAAATTGTAAATTTACATGGCTAGCTTTGTTTTTAAATAAAATGCTTTGAAATTATTTTGTTGCAAGATATTTAGCATAAGAACGTGTACCCCCACTAAATTGTTCCTGTACCCCTGAGGGTACACGCACCACACCTTGGGAAACACTGTTATAAGGGATAAAAATTTCATGATTTTAAAAGATTTTTTTATGAAGAAGAAGCCTTATAGTAAAGATGAGACTGTGTTTTAAAATTAAGCTAACTTGCATAAATTCTATAAATAAAACAAGGTAGAAATTAGTTATTTAGATATTTAAGACAATAAGTAATACAAAAATAAAATTTTCTATTTAATTTTATAAGGGATAAAAATTCTATGGGATTAAAAGGTTTTTTTTATGTAGATTAAACCTTCTAAATAAAGATGAGATTATCTTTTAGGCTAGCTTGCATAAACTCTGTAAATAAAGCAAGATAAAAACTTTAAAAAAATTTAGTCACTGGTCCATGGACGAGTGGCTAATTTGTTAATTCAATTAGATACAGTGAATTTAAATATAAAGTTACAATGCTAAGAATGTGTTATGATCATAATTATGATGAAATATGCTACATTGTGACAATGGAAGGTGTTTTCTATGAGGCATTGCAAGCTCTTTAGTACCTATACTTCCGTGTTATTGTTCATGGTGTGTTCTGAAGCCATTTGGCTCCCAACGTGATCATTGTGTTTTGAGATTCTCTTGAGTAGTATTTCTTGCATATGTGTATTTGTTATCTGATTTATTATTTGTGTTTAAAAGAAGAATCGCCATTTGAAGACCTGCCATTACCAGACATAAGAATTGCCATTTGAAAAAAGAATCGTTATAAAACACTTCTTACTTTGCTAATTGTATACCAACTTTAAAATTTAAACCTAAATGATAATTTGTAAAATGAACATAATCTCGCTGCTCGAACAATATGCTACCACTATCGTATGATAGAGCACCAAGAACAAACAGTAATAAACAAGTAAAAAAAAAGGCCAAATCAGAACTGGCAAAAAAGCGAGTTCTTTCTAAATCTAGCAACGATGTCACCATTTTTTTACAAGACATCTCTAAATAACTAAAACAAATTTATACATATCTTATGAATACTAATATCAATAATATCTTATGAAGTAAAGCAGATTTGAGCTCAGAAATTACATAATTTATTTCTTTTATTAAAAACAAAATTATCTACTTTAAAATATTGCCTCGCAGAATAAGTAGCTGTATACTTTCTAACCAGAAGTAGAGCAGGTCAAGAGGCCGAGATTGTTGCTGTTTACATTTATATTGAAAACACCATCCATAACATAGGTTAAAACAGGAAAATGAAAAATCAAAACAGCATATAATCTCTTTACATACAATTCCCATAGCTGCCAAGCTGGATAGGAAAAAATCCAGTTGATTTTACAAAATGATATAAATTTCATGATAATTGTTGCATCATGTACTAAATATTTTATACATAGGGAATTTTAGGGATTTTTATTGTCATCAAAATAGAAGAACTACAATATTTTCCAGTTATGATTGACTTAAATGAACTTGAACTGTTATGTATTATGTTAACTCATAATTTTGAACAGTTATAGGCATTTAATTCATCAAAGATAGTTAAAAAAAAAGATTCTTTAATTTAAAAAGGGAGTTCTGATTAAATATAAACTTAGTATTTTAGAGCAAAAAAAAAGTTTTGAACTGATTTTTATAAATGAGGCTCGCTTTATTGTGTATTAGTAACACTTATTTAAATATTCAAGCAAGCAATAATTTCTCCAAAAACTCTATCTCAATAGGGATTTTTTTAGGAAATTTTCTGAAATGCACAAAAACCAGGAGAATTTTTATTTAACCAGGAGAAACTAGCAAAATTCAGTAGAGTTGGCAGCTAAGCATTCCATACTTGCCAGTTCGGGGGACCACTGATAATTATCTCATCGTAATTTGAATAAATTTTAGTGAATCAACCTTATATTTGTGCCTTAATATACAATCACATGTAATTGTTTCTTTTTTTAAACAAAGATAAAATTGTTAAGGTAAGAATTTGCAATAAAAGTGAAGGAAAAAAAAGGCATAATTAAAACTTGAATTTTTTTTACAAAACCCGTAAATTGTTTTTACAGTAATTTTGCACTAACCTGAACAATCTTGGAATTGAGAAAGACTACCAATACTGGATGCTGAACTTTTCACAATGCTACCGACACGGCATCTGAAGTTATCTGAAGCAGTAAAATCTATTTCTTTAAATTTCAATTTCCTAGCTGCAGAACACTTGGGGGCTGAAAATGCAAATTAATTAATATTATTCATTATTTTGCAAATTGAAAATTGTAAGAGTAATTTTCTTGCCAATTCTCTGATAACTGTACTATCTCTATGTACTGTTTAAATTAAAAATTTCCTCTTACACTAGTGCTTATTCTCTAAAAGAGTGAAATAAACAGCTTAAGAGAGTGTGCTAATTCAATGCAGCTCAATTTAAAACTGCTAACTTTAAGGTTGTTTTACAGAAACACAACTAAATTTATACATTAAAACTTTGCTATATATATTTTTTTTTAAAAAATTTTACAAACATTTTGTATGAATTCTCTTATTTATTTCTCAAAATTTTACAAAAACTTTGGAATAAGAGGTAAAAATGCAAAATATGAGAAAAATATGAGTTAAACAACCAAGAAAAAGAATTAAACAACTTGAAATTTAAGATAACTATTTTCCATATAGTAAATTTATTAACAAATGATTTTAATTAAATGCTGTTTTAAGGGATAAAAAAGTATCTAATTTAACACAACACAACAATAACTCATGTAAAAAATTTTTAACTTTCAAAAAGAGGATTATCAATAAAGTGGGTAAGAAAATATATTGAAAAAATTATCTTGCAAAGACATATGCTGACAATAGAAATTTCAGTTTAATTAGCAAAATTTTTAACTTTACTGCAAAATATATTAATCTTTAAATAATTTTCCAGCAGTCTGGTTTTTAAAACATTTCTAAGGCTCTGATAGTTAAAATTTAGATCTCACAGGTGAAACAAAGTATCTAAGTCTTTATTTAGAAAAATATTTGCATAGCATTAATACTTTTCCTGGATTTGGTGCAAATTTTGTTACACTCAGGCCCTTGAAAAAAAAAAAAAATCGAAAGTCAGCAATTAACATTCAAACTACCCACTCCTTAGCTCAGAAAATAATAAATTGACCAACAATTCACCAGATTTCAACAGCATTTATCATCATTGGCGCAACAGACTAGAGTGGGCCTTAGCCTTCTTCAGAACATTTTCCTGTGAAGTTCTCTTTGTTGCCAGTTTAAACATCATTAAAGATATAAAATATTCAGACGATACACACTTGGTATAGTGGGAAAAACACAAATAGTTACAGCCTGGATAAACCTTGTTTCAAGCAAATAAACATGTTATAAAGTACCTTGTTTAAATTCTTGACAACAGGCTTTTTCTTCTTTTTCAAGTTTACAGTTATCAGCAGGCTCTTGTAGTGATAAAGATTTGATTCCATCAACATGGTTCATGGAACTGTAACCCCTATCAGATGATTCATCTACAAAAAGAATGAACTTTGCATTCAAATATACCTTCTTTTATGCTGAACATGACATTTAAATATTAAATGAAATAATTTTTTAATATTTAATAACAGATGTTTTATATAATGATATCTGTCACCATCAGAAAGTAGGAATTAGTAAGATTGAAGCTCAAAAATGGGGAGATTTCACCAAAAAATTGGGAGATTTTGTAGACAAAACAGTGCAGACAAAAAAAGAAAAAAAAAAAAAGAAAGAAAAAAAAGAAGATATCACACTGAATAACTCTTGTTCTAATGATCGGATTTTCATGTGCTAATTGAAATCAAATACAAAAACTTACTTTCTTTGAAAACATACATATTTTTTTTTTACATATTTTAATTTCTGACCCTAAAAATATTGAAGACAGACAAATTTCCGAAAAAATTGGGTCATAAATTGAGGCGGTTGAGAGATTTATAACATAAGTGGAATAAAAAAAAAAGAAAATGTCAAACTACATCAGCATAGAAAATAGTGTAATTTAACATAACCATAAATTAATTGCATGATTGACAAGACAGCAAAGGCTAGTGTATCTCCATAAGCAACCAACAGAATGAAAAAAGCTTATGAATGAAATAAAAACTTATACTTTTTCATTAATTTTTCGTGTTTATGAGAAAAACCAGTCTATAGTTTATAGAAAAACTAGACAACTGACATTTTTAGATGATTTCTAGCCAATATTTTTTTAAAAACTTCGTTGAACATAAAATTGGAATATAGTAATAAATAATTTATGGTTTTCCAAGATTTTAGAATTTGAATGCATGAACTTTTCATTTGACACTATTTGTGCTTTTTTACATCATTTTATTTTCATTTGTATGAAAATTTTATACTAAGACCAAATTTACATAAAAATAATATAATTATATACAAAGCTATTAAGTCATATTTCTGAAGCTCACAAGAAACGAAAGCCACTATATCGGCATGGTGATGTATGCGTTAAATCGATAATTTGTGATATATCGATTCATCCAGGGTGCGCTGCCATTTTTTTCAGCAAAAATGAAGCACCTTTTAAGCACTCAGAAATATTTTTAAGCACTTAAAAAAAAAAGATCATAATTAGGCAGGGTTGCCAAGTTTTTGACAATTGACGGTTTTAACCGTCATGACAACAAAAAAAAAAANAATAAAAAAAAAAAAAAAAAAAAAAACAACCTTTGGCATAGCTTTTGACAAATATCAAAAATCATTAAATTTTGAATAATGTAAAAAGAATGGCCTTTCATCAAAGTTTCTTACATAGTTACATACATTTATTTATGTTTACCAAATAAAAGATGCATTTTGGCGAATTAAAGACCGCATGTAGCCTCATCTTCCGGTCTGCAGGTTGGGCACTCCTATTCTATTTTCTAATATCTACAGGGTATCTGCTACATTTTAGATTTTCAAATTCATGACTTTCTATGACTAATTCCAAGAATTCTTTATGACTTAACGAAGTTACTATTTAATCTGACAATAACACAACAATAAATTTAAAAAAGCATTATAATAACATTAATTGAAATGATAGGTAAAACCAAAACTGTTCTACTCCGCTTCTTCCTATTTATAGATCTTAAATTTAAAAAAAAAAGAGTAAAGAAAGAGTTGAAGCAATAAAATAGTTGGGGAAAAAAATACACAAGAAAATTTTTTTTTCTTCCCATGCTGAATTATAGTCTAAAGATACTTTTCTTGTTCATCGGAAAGGAAAGAAATACTCCTGATTTTTCTGTTCTCATTTCGGAATTAAAAATAATTCGACAGTAACTGGCTTGCTTCAGCTAGAATTTTAAATTGGTAAAATAAAAATAAAAATAATTCTGAAATCACAGAAGTTTAAAAGATAATTTGCTCTAGAAATTGTGTTTTTTCCTTCATTTTTTGAAAGAATATCATAGTTTTTAAAGAACACGATAAAAACAATTTATATTTTAATAAAATATGACGACTGTTAGTGGGGATCTTGTTACAAATTCAAATATTCAAAACACCATGAAATTGGGGGGATTACATTTTAAAAATTAGACTTACAGCGATCTAAATCTATGACTTCTAAAAAAATTGATTTTCTAAATAAAAACAACAAAATAGTTAAAATCATGACATTCCAGGACCAATTTTGTTCAATACCGAAATTCATAACTTTCCAGGTGAGCAGATATCCTATTATCTACTATTTTTACTCCATAAAAGATTTGAATAAATCTGACATCAAAACAAACCTGAATTGTTCTGATCATCCCTGAGTTTGATTAAATCGGGTAAAAATTCAGCTGGGTTGCTTATCCTCACAATGGACACATCGTCCGGATTGCTGCTCTCCGTACTCGCTCTGCTTAGGCAGTCCAATTCAGTTTCAGAACACAATGAAAGAGACCGCCTTGCCTTGTTCTTCAAGCCCTGCCTGAATTGGGCCACACTCAAGATGACATTACGAAGGCGATTCCACATCAGGGTACTGCTTGCGTCTGCAGCAGGCCATTTGCTTTCTAGAACAGCCTGGAATTATTTATTTCATTTTAAAAATATGTTATCGCAAAAGAGTAGAAATAATTTATTCTACAGATCATCTAGCTAAAGTGCAAATTAACTAGGATTGCACATCAGAGTGCTGCTTGTGTCTACAGCAGGCCATTTGCTTTCCAGAACAGCCTGGATTTTTTTTTTAAATATCTTTTCACTAAAGAGTAGAAATAATTTATTCTACAGATTATCTAGTTAAAGTGCAAATTAACTAGGGTGATCCATTAAAATGACAAAAAAAATAATTGTTTCCTTTCACAAATTATCTAGGTAATACGCAAATTTCCTTAAAAATCTACACATTGCATGCAGGGGTCTGTCAAAGTTTTTCGAAAGGTACTTATTTTGTGAAAATTTAGACATAATCTTGGGCATAAAATTGTACCCATATTTAAAATTCCACACAAATTACTGTCCATAGCTATATTTCAACTTGAGTTTAATAAAAACATGCATTTAACACTACTAGCACTAAAAGTTAATTTTCATTATGAGAACATTTTCAACTAGGTCATACAAAAAAAAGTTTCACAGAGAAAAAAATGTTTCGTAAAAAATAAAGGTCTGCTAGAATAAATTTACAATAGTTTTTAAGATAATGTTCGAATGTTTAGAATAATGTTCGAATTTCGACTTCCTGTAAAGCTTATAGAGGACTCATCGTTTCATTTTAAAAAACTCCGCGAAAAAAAAAAAACGCTTTGGCATGACGTAAGTGACCAGTTGGGCTTAGCACATTGCATTATCTGACCAAACACGTCATACCTTTTCGTAAAAGACAGCTGGCAGAAAAGCTTTTTTCCATAGATTGCAACGAGAACGGGGTTTGCATGAGAACTTGTTTTTTTAAAAGTGTTTTGTGAAACTACCGTTTTTCCTAAAGTTGAATTTGTGAAGGTACCACTAAATGGTAGTAAATTTACCCTAAACAGACCCCTGACATGCTAGGCACTTGCTTAAGCAAAAATAATATCTTTGCTGAAACAGTAGCAGCATTTCTTACAAGGTGTCTACCAGGTCCCAGGAAAAACAATTAATGACCTCAAAACAAATTTTCAGGACCTCTGATTTTTTTTGGCTTTTTGCTTTTAACTACTTTTTACAGAAATTATTAAATTTATGTCAATATTATTGAATACATTTTACATTCATAAGATTAGCAAAATATATACATACCAATGGACCATTAATTAGATATACTGCTGTTTTTTTTTTTATGTGAAAATTTGGTGATATGCTTTGATGCAGCACTTTACATCAAAAAAAAAAAAAAAAAAAAAAAAAAAAANAAAAAAAAAAACTATGGAATAATGCAGTGTTAAATTCTTTTCCTTCAAGTTTTGAATAATTGTTATTTTCAATTTGACATTCTGCACGGGGCAATTTAACAGTAAAAAAATATTCCAAAATATAAATAGAAAAATAGGTCCAAAAATAGATTTAGAATAATATCTTACAGTTTTGTATTTTCATTTTTTCTTCAGCCTTTCTCACAATAAAAATATGTAAAAAACAAAGAAATACTAGCTAAAAAATTTTTTTTCTAAAAGGAAAAAAAATCTACATAATTATTCACATAAATTATGTGTTACTTCAAATTTAAGGTTTTACATTTTGTTTGCACAACTGAAAAAAAAATACAGTTTAAAATTTTTCTACGGTTTTATCTTTACTAAGGGTTAGCAGACACAGAACATTCAGTTTCATTTAAATTTGTTTTTATATTGTAATTGTTTTTCTAAAATTAGTCTGTTTATTAATGACTTTTTGCTTCCTCAAATGTGAAAATTTCAACTTTTTCTTTGAGAATATTTACTTTGAATAGTTACAGAACAGTCTTACTCTTTTTGTCCTTCAAATTTGACTGAAAAATTCTTTTTTTCTCTTTTAATTATAGAAAACACTGCCCATTCTCTTAGATTATGATTACGTGCCATAGATATAATTAAAAAGGTCCATTTCCGCCAACTTTCTTAAAATTCCATACAATTTTTTTAAAATCATTTTTGAGTCATGCAGATTTTAAATTCTGATATTTTTATTACAGTGTTATTATGGCAAACTAATTTCGAATTTAACAAGGCAAACTTATTTTATCAGTGGACTGAATGTCAAAGATAAAAACAGGAATTTAACAAAAAAAACAAAAACAGGCATCATTTTAACAAAAATCAAAATCATACTTTGTTATAATAACCATAAGTTATTGCATTGGGTTGAACACCATAATGCTTCATTTCGAATAAAATTTTCACAGCCAAGGTTGGCTGACTATATAATCCACATAACAGCATCAACACTCTATAGCAAACCTGTTACAAAAACAAAAGTTATCAAATTTGCAGTAATTGCAAATTGAATATATAAAAATATTATAATGATTTTATATATAATGACTTTATAATATGTCAGGTATATATGGGAAAAGTATCACAGTTTTGTCAGTCCAAATGTAAAAAAGTAGTCATTTTCTCTGAGATAAATAAAGAGAAATAGCATTAAAATAATTCTTTCTCAGTGCAGTTTTTATCATTGAATCATTTTATATTTCAATAAACTTTTTTGCTCGATTTTGTTGTTGTCTTGTCTATGACAGTGCTAAATATTTCAAAAAGTTTCAAGAATGAATTTTGCGAGTTCGGTGAAAGATGTCCTTCGACAGTGTGCAGAGTTCAAAAAGTGCAGCCAGAATGGCTTGACAGTTGAAAATGTGTTCTGGTGTTAATTGGGTTTGGGGCAATGTCTGTACAGTCAAATCCTGTTTTAGTGAAATCTGAAATAACGAAAATTTCAATGTAATGAATATTTTCTGAATCTCCATAGAAACAATGGATTTAAAATACTGATTTCACGAAATTGGTAATCCGATTCAATGAAGGTGTAAATAAGCAAGAATTCTCATTTTCTCTCATGATCAAAACACTTTTCCATTCCTCAAAAGTACACATTGATCTCAGAATTCAAATATTTTTGCATCTTCAAAAAAAAAAAAAAAAAAAAAAAAAAAAAAAACAACTTTCAGATATTTAAGGGATATGTCCAAAAAAAAACGAGTCACTTGGTAGGGACCACCCTGTAAAGACTAAATCCCAACCCATTCATGTTACTGCAGACGATGATGATGGAAAATGTGAAGCATTGACAGACCATGATATTGTTCTTATCATTTAAGAAAACAAAGAAAAATAGCTTCCTGACAGCAGTGATGACGAAGTATGTTCTGAAGAAAACGTTTCTGTACCTACAGCTTTACAGGTCTTGGCCAATTTGGAAGCCTTAAAGAAATATTTAGCAACACAAAAATCTTTTCGGATACTTTGTTTGATAATGTGCATAATTTGAAGAAGTTTGTAATTTCTACTGGTTCTAAATAATTAGCACAGAATTTTTTTTTTTTTTTTTATGGATTACGTAATTTCTGATAAATAGGGAATAATAAATCCCTTGTCCCTTGTAATTTAATTGTTTTTGTGAGCTTTTAAAATATTGATTTGATATTTTCTGCATGTAGAGTACAAATAGATCAAAATTGTAATTAAATGCAATATTTATTATTTTTTATGCGAAAAATTCGAATGTAACAAAATAATTTTGGTTAATGTTTAAATTCTTAATATCGGTATAACGAATAATTGTTATTGCGTAGCGACTGCTTCGGTCCCTAGGAATTCGATAAAACGAGATTCGACTGTATATTATAGTATGAAAGCCATAGTTAGTTTTTGTGAGCTTTCAAAACATTGACTTGATATTTTTTACATGTAGAATTCAAATAGATCAAATCTGTAATTTAATGTAATATTTGTAATCTTTTCATGCGAAAAATTCCAATGTAACAAAATAATTTTGGTTAATGTTGAAATTCGTAATATCAATTCGTTAAAACGAGACTGTATCCAAGATCATTTATGAAGTACTACTTGACTGATTTAAATTGCTCCTCAGGGTTCCAAACAAGTGACAAAATGTACAACATAGCATTTCCTTAAAATGCATATCATATACAAATAAAATAAAAAAAATTTTAAAAATTTATTTGATGGTTTAAATTTTTTTGCTGTTTTTCCTTTATTTCAAATTGTTATCAGTAATGAGTGCACACATACAACGGTATATTTGAAAAACAACATAATTAAATATGGGAGAAAAAGTGAGAAAATAAAATGAAATCAAATAAATAATAATGATAAATTGGAATAATTTATTTAGAATTTTAAAAGCAATGAAAATACCTCATCTGGTTGGCAAATTTTATATTTTTGAATTTGAGCCAGAACATCAAATGAAAGCCTAAGTGCACTGCTTTTGGATGGTGAGTTTCTTACAAATGAAGGCAAATGAATAAACCATAAACTAAAGCAATAATTCACCAGGCACCTATAGAAACACAAAAGAAATACATTGTTCAAATATATTTATCACTTTATATGTTGCACAAAAATTAGCAATATTATATGCTTTTTCTTTTTGATGGGATACATCAGAATTCTCCCTACAAATAAAAAAGGGCACTTTGAGTTTTGAAAGGGCAACAAAAGGGCACTTAGCAAACATAAAAATTTATCAAAATGTAGTAACTGAATCTGATCCTCAACAATTTTTAAATTACCCTCTTGTACTATTTAATGTGCAGATTTCAAAAAATAATTTTCTCTCATTATCAAAATTTGTAGTTTATAAAAATAATTAAAGGCTTGCTAAAAGACAATCTCTGTGCATAATTTTTTTTCAAAAAAAATGTACACCAAAAAAAATTATGAGGAAATAAACATTTAAAGGTGCATTTTTTTTTTTAAAAAAAGGTATTTATTTAAAAAATAATTTTAAAATTATTAAACAAATTTATTAATATACCAAGTCTCGAAAAAAAAAAGAGATACTTATACACATTTAACAAGTTGAGAATAACCTTATCAAAGTAAATATTTGAAATAGATATCAAAATTAAACCTATACACAAAAATATTTGCCAGTGTGTAATTATTATTTAAACAGTGAAATAATTCTTTTCAAAATAGAATATGAATAAAAAGGCAGTTTTTGATTCACTTTCTCTGATTTTCCTTAAATAATCAAAAAGGTTATATATTTTTAATATAGCTTTACCTGACAGTGATTAGCTAATTGCAATAAAAAATTTTTTACTAGTTTAAATAATTTAAACATTTGCAATTAACAATTTGAATATTAATTTGATTGTGTCAAAATGCAAATTTTTCTTCACTTCTGACAAGGATTCAACAATTATATATGGAAAGCAGAGATTGTCAATATGTATAGATGGGCAATTCCATATGTGACGGAATGACATTTTGACTTGCATGATGACAATTAATTGAAGTTTCTATGCATCTAATTTCAAATAAACATGATTTTTTCTCATGCATATCATTATTATTGGTATAATGTGATTCATAAACTAGAAAAAAAGAATTTTGTATTTTTTTTATTTTTAATTTTATGAACTTTTTACTTGTGTGACGGAATGACATTTTGGCAACCANGTAAATATTAAAAAGTTTGAACCCTAATGAGTAACAACATGATCAATGTACAAAAATACAATACATTTCAAATACTAAATGAAACAGAGTTAGTGTATAATAAGTTTTAAAATAATACATACTGCCTACTAGGACTGGGAGATGCAAGAAATTTTATATTGTGATACATCGTCTGTTAGACATCGCGATATAGCGATGTATCGCGATTTAGCATTTATTCAAAAATTATCTATCATAAATCTTTAAATTAATCAAAAAGGAATAAATCTATTACAAAACAAAATGTCTTAAGTAAAATCAAACCAAAGCTTTATTTTAATTTTTTTTCAAAATTAAAAATGACTTAAGATTTATTGGTTTAAAAATAATAATAAAACTAGCAAAATATTTTACAAACATGCATTCAAAATTAAAAAAAAAAAAAAAACTGAAGAAATGTTAACTTAAGTAAAATATTTTTTAAATTATTAGTTGAAAAAAACCGTGCTTTTGAAGCATTGTTGGACCTTCTTTTATTTATATACAGTACAGAACCCGTTATCCGGAAATCAGAAAACCGGAAAACCAAAAAACCGGAACGAAATTCGATAAATTTTCCCGCCATTTTAAAAAAAAAAATATTTTTTCCTCATAAGATTTTAGGATTTTTCGTTCTTTTTTGAAAGATGTTTACCTTACCATAATTTTGGAAATAATCATTAGTGTATTACTCCATCATTTTTTCTTCTTTTTAAGATTATTTCCAAAAAAAAATTTTTTTTTTAGTTGGGTTTAACATTAAAAAAACGGCTTTTTGTAGCGATTCAGAAAACCGGAAAAATCAGTTATCCGGAATAGCGATGGTCCCGATCGTTCCGGATAATCGGTTCCCTACTGTATTTAAAATAATTAAGTTGTACACACGAATTGGATGCATCAAAAAGGGGTTAATTAAATTCATCTTTCGAGATTCATGTGTTGCAATAAATAATATTGTATTAAAAATATCGAGATTTTAAAAAATGTATACAGAAATCAATAATGATATCTATGGAAAAATTTATTGAGAAAATGATAGAATTAATGTGTCAAATAGTGAATACTCATGTTTGAGATTTGAATTTCCCGTACAATATTATCGGAATTTTAAAAAATAATTTCAAAAATCAATCAACAGCAATAACTGCCAAAAAGGCCCTATCGAAACGCCACACGAATTTTGCGTAAATCGAGCGAGTCAAAAAGTAATTATTCAAATGGGTGATTCTAATGTTGTGCATCATAATAATATCGGAATTTTAAAAACCATGAGAAAATTAACTAAATTAAATGCAAAAGAAAGAGAAAAAAAGATTGTAACACGGATTTACGATGGAGTCAAGAGTGTTGATTACTGAAATGCAAGACTTTTTTCTCTAACAAATCTGCATAAAAAGAGCTTCATGCAACAATCTGCTTAGTTTTCCTTATTGATTTGAGTTCAAAAATTTTTTCGGTTACTTCTTTTCTTAGGGTTTTAATTCATTTCAATAAGCATAAGCACTACCAGTAGAACTGAATTTCTGAAACTCTGTCAATTTTGAAGGTCAGTGTGGGTCTTCCACTTAGGTACCTTAAAACTACCCCCCTCGACCAATATTATTCTTTACTTTTAGAATGCTCCACTTACCTCATGGGGTACCATTCTAAGCAAAAGGAAGAATATATTAATGAAAGAACAAATATATTAATGAAGGAAGGACATGATTTCTTCTTCTTGCCCGTAGCCCTCTCACACACATCTCTTCTTGTATGTTCAACCCTCAATGCAGGGTCTTATTCTAGGCGATACAAAAACGATATTTTGTTTTAAATATTTTAACAAGACCGAAAAATTGTTCCTTTTAACTTCAGGGACTTATGCAAACCAACATTAATTATTATTTTTTTAACAATATTATTTATGGACGATCCCTCAGTTAACCATTTTCAAATATTGTGATAAACTTCTTGATTCTTTTGCTATTTGTACAATAATAAGTAATATAAAACATGTTTTTAAAGTCAATTCCTACTTAGGTCAACAATGAAAAATGTTATTTTAGTTACTTTAATAAAAAAATTTTCTCCCATATTAAAGTAAAATTAATTAATTAAATTTAATTCATGAATTAATATCTGAAAAAACTGTATTAACATCAAGTGTCATCAACTTCAAGTTTAAAAAAATGTATTTGAACTTGAGTGGATGAATGAAATGTATTTTATTAAGGATTGGACATTTGAACTAGATATATAGGGAGAGTGTGAACTAATAGTAGGAAAAATATGAAGAAAAAAAATTGAGCTATATTATTTTTATTTAAATGTAATATTTCATTAAGACATAATAAAAGAATAATCTTACTCTTTGAGCACTTCTGATTTCCTGTTTGCTTCGCCGTGCCATTGGACTATTTGGCATTGGACTAGCTTGAGCAATTAGCTTTAGGACAGATTTCACTGGATTCTTATGAAACAACTGAGGTTTCAGAGTACCAAATTGTTTGTACCTGTACTCTAGGCCAGGGGGTAGGCCAATAGGCTCAGGAGGTGCGACAAACACAGTCCTATCGCTCACCTGAGATTCGTCAATTTCTAAAAACTTCATGTCATAACCAAAGGAGTCTATTTTCTCTGTACATTCGTCAAAGAACGCTAAGCTTGCATCCTTGTCAGAAACAAAAGAACGTTCCTCAATAAATCGAATGAACATTTGAGTCTTCATTACCATGGAAAAAAATCTGCCATAAGCTTTGTCCCGACTTCTTAAAAAACCTGAAAGACAGAAGCCATCAGATTTAAGATAAGTAGCTTAAATTACATATGGGGACCCAGTTTCTAATATAACAATTAAGTAAAAGACCCTCTTTTCTCCCTTCTCTCACTGATCCGCAGAATAAAAACACAGTAGACTATGAAAAAAATAAATAATAAATATTAAAGTTAATTTAATATATTATTTAAGTTATTTTCCCTCAAATACATAAATTGATTTTTTTATTACATTAACTTTTGCTGTTATTTTCTTTAAGTGCGTAAAATTTTTACTTGTAAATTTATAGAAAAAATATAGGGACCCAAATTCAAATACAACAATTTAGCAAAAGTTCCTTTACTCCCTCACTGATGCACAGAATAAAAACACAACGGACTGTGAAAAAAATAAAAAATGAAGACATTCCTTTTGCATAAATTTTCACAGTACTCACTTTTACACTGTGGTTGCTGTTTGCAGAAAGAAAAGTAAGATAAAAATGACAAGCTAAAAGTAAGAATTCAGGCCATTAACAGAAGGGCAATTATTAGAAAACCACATCCCTCTTTGAAAAAAATCAACCCTTCAAATTTTTGAGGCATCGAACTCCCTGTTAGATGCTGATTTCTCCTGCACACATTCCCCATATACATTAGAGTTAAACTATATGGAACGAGCAGCTTTAAAGCAAAGATAATTTTTAGAAAAAGCTGAACACTTCAAAACCATATACATTAAAACTGAAAAAAAAAAACATATGTAAATCTGTGGAAAACTGTTCAGAAACCAAGAAATATGGTCATTTACTGCTAAACCCAAATTATTCAACAGACAATAATGAAAATGAATAAATCATACCAGATAAGTCAAATAAGGAATTGGGATCAGTTGTCCCAATTGTTGGTGCACTAGTGATTGGCAATAAATATGAGCGATATCCTTTCAAAATAGAAGCCATAAAACGTAAGAACGCTTCTTGTATTTCCAATTCAAGTTGGCGCTGAAATAAAACAAAAATGTTAGATGAACACAAACATCTTTTAAGTACATCTTTCATTGATTATAAATAGCAACTTTACCTCAATCTTTTTTGTTTTAAAGTCATAGTCTATTAAGGCAGAATTATTGGATAACAACAGCGACTGAGAAGCACTACTTTTGATAGACCCTAGCTTTCCGTATAGAGACATTAAAGTGTTACGCAGATCTCTGGCAGGTTTCTGGAAGGAAAAAAATAACTACAATTGCATACCAAAAACATTATTTAAAAAATTGTATAATAAAAAAATTGTATACCTTACAATTCAAAAATTTTTTCAACTATTATTAAATAAAATAATAAATATTTAGTGAAATTAATTTTTGTATGGAATTATCCTTGGATAAATGAATTTCATGACTGTGTGCAAAAATGTTTAAATTTGTTAAGAAGTTCTCGAGATACTGCGAAATATGCAAAAAGTAAAATTAACATTAAGGGGTCAAAACTTTGGATTGCTCTCCTGAACAAATTATGGAGACCATATCTAGGGGATCAGAAATCTGAATTTGTTGACAGAAAGGGGTGTTTATTCAGAGAAATGTTTTTGTGTTTGATTTCGTAACTTAAAACACCACCTGCATTATTTAATTAGCATAATTTAGGTCACCCCTTCAAACCATTAAGATTGAGTCCTAAAATGCGAAGATCCGATCATTCGAAAAAAAGTTATTCGCCCAAATAAGGGCTTATCTCCCCATATTCTTAGAGTATGGCTATGTTTACCAGGGAAAAGAAGATTTTGTATCATATTGGCTAACCTAAAATATTACCTACATAAACTATCTAGCACATATTAAATTTCTTAGTCTTATAGTTTTGCACATGAGGGGAAAAAAAAACAATGGAAAATAGTGACAGTAACTGTACAATTAAAATTGAAAAATAGAGAATTTGGTCAAAAAATATTTTATATAAAAGTTAACAACACATACACAAAGGGTAGAGAATGATAATTTTTACTGAAATTTTTGTACAAAATGTTTTTTAAAAGTCTTCAAAATTTTGTTAAAATTGAGATGTAAATTTTATTAAAAGTTTTTGAATGGTGGGAAAAAAATCAATCAGAGCTTGTAAACAGAGGGAAAAGTTTTCACCTATGTTATAATCATATAAAGAGAGTTTAGGTGCTTGGCCCTGGTTGGGCGTTGTGTATTTAAAGAGAAAAGTTCAAATTACTTTTCAGATAAATTTATTAAAGAGGAGTAGTCAATTGTTATTTACTTTAGGAAGGAGCTTTGTGGTAAGGCTTTTCTTTTCTTCAGAACTGAAATTAAGGAGATTTTGTTACATATTGAATAAAGATATAATTATTATAAAATCAAACAGTTTTTTCCTTTTTTCTAGAAAAAAATGAGGTTAATAGGAATATAAATAAGTTTAAAATGAAACAAAATAATTTATATAAAAAAATCATTAAACAGGGTTCGTAGCCAAATCTTTCAACAAAAATAAGCACCTTTTAAGTACTTTTTAAGCAATTAAAAATATTTTTAATCACTATATACTTTAATAAAATGCAAAATAATTTTCAAAGACTTTATATGATCATGATAAAATAACTACTTTCTGGAAAAGAACTCTTATTCTTGATTACATTAGACGCCATAAAAAAATAGAGATTTTTTCAGTTCGATTTCAGAGGGTGGAAAATGAAGCCTGAAACTGAGAATATCTTGCAAAATGCAGCAGAGTTGCTCACGAGAGTGCTAGAATTTCTCCGAACCCAGCTCAGTAGGCGCACGCGCGGACTCGCAAGGATTTCATCAAACATGTAAAATTATTGGTGCTTTCATACACAACGGAACGACGGTACACCGAAATGCACTGTGTTTGAATGAGTTGGGAAAACGTTGAATAGAACAATGTGAAAACCACGCTTTTGCATAATACATGGCGAAAATCGACATGGTAAAGAAGAAAATAATTCATTTTCGAAAAGGGAAAATTAAGCACTTTTTAAAAATGAAAATAAGCACCTTTAAGCACTTTTTAAAAGCACTACACACCCTTTTAACCCCTTCCTTCTCATTTCCGTGAAAATGACGGGGTGAGGTTTCGCTCTCTATTTCTCGCTCCTGTAATATTTCCGGGCTGGAGTGTTCAGTAGTAACGCGCCAATAAGAATAAAACTAATTTATTTCTTTTGACCGGAAAACATTTTATTTCTCATTTTACACAACTGATGGCAGTGCCAGGATATTTTTAAGGTAATTGTAAATAGTTAGTTTATTTTAAACTAGATGTCAGCACTAATCAAATAGCATTAGTAAAAAACACAGAATAGCAATAGTAAAAAAAAAATAGGCACTTTTATGACAGTTTTCTTTAAAATTAACCAATCGTTAAGGGGTTAAATAAAGAGAAACATTTTAATTAAAGATAAAATAAATTATGATTAAAAAAACAAAAAATTAACAATAAAAAATATAGATAAAATAATTAAAAAAACATGAAAAAAAAGTTGAATAAGAACATTTATAAGAAATCACTTTAAGTTACAAAAATTTATATTAACTTACGTAAAAATAGAATTTGTATCAAGATCAATGCAGGTTACATCTTGAGGAGGATCAAACAAATCAAAGTATCGAGAATCAACACCTAAAATGTATCCACATAATTTTTATTATCATAAAACAAGTTTAAACCAAATTTTAATTCAAAGAATAATAAGAAAAAGATAATTTTACTAAATTCTTATGAAATGTAAAATATGACATTATCCTATAAGATAAACTAATACGATGATGTCATGTTTTAAGAAATTAATAAAATTCTATACTTAGTTTTTAATGACAAAGATATAAAACTTATTTTATTTTGCCACTATTGATAAGCAATCTATCCATGTAGTGTACTTTAAATACTCATTCATACCCCATCTCTGCCAACCCAAATTTTTAAAATTGCAGAAAATTCACTACAAAGTTGAAGAAATTACTAAAATTAAAAGATTTTATTGGATTTAAAACTCTTACAAACTGAAATATTAAACCAAGAAATAGTTCTTATTTTTCCATTTTGTTATCTTATTTCAATAATAAAAAATTTACTCATGATTATTTCAAGCAAAAATCTTGATCAACTATTATTAATCCTGTTATGATTTGTTTGCATTTTTATACTTAGAAATTTTTTTGCAACATTTGAAATTTCATGTAGTTTACTCTAGGTTTACCAGAACTATTAAAATTTAAATGTAGGTGAAAGAACATTTCACCTGAACGTTTTAGTTTATGCATCTTATTAAGGAGTTTTAAAATGATGAATGAAAAATATCTATTCTTTATCTATCTATCCAATCTTAAAATCTATTTCATTCTACTTATCTATCTAGAATTATCAATTCTTAAAATGAAACCTTTCTGAAGAGCTTTCTTAAATAATATATTTAGAGAAAAGTCTATTTTTATGATAATGTATTCTGTTAAAGGTATGTTTTAACATTTGTTTTTTGTAAAAAGTTCAATTCAAGAACAATAAAAGTTACAAAGGTAGACCAGATTTTTGTCATTAAAATGACTCCTACAATGAGTAAATTTATTGCAATAAGCTGTAATGATATTACCAACAAGAAATGGCACAGGTGCACACAGGACATCAGATAAACCAAGCGGACACAGAGGAATGTAAGGACATTGCCAATGGAACGGGAAAATGAGCTAAAAAAATAGACGGATACAGCTCAGAATACTGCAAAAAATAATCATTTATAGAAAACATTTTCCTTCTTGTGACTACATCTTCCACTAATGCCTATGTAAGTTTGTAATTTGTTGTTTGTAATGCATGCTTATGTAAGTTTGTAATTTGTTGCTTGTAATGCATTCTTATGTATGTTTGTAATTTGTTGTTTGTAATGCATGCTTATGTAAGTTTGTTGTTTGTAAAGTACCCTTACGTAAGTTTGTAATTTATTTATTTTTGCTGATAAGGTGGGATTCCAAAATTGCTAAAAATATGCTTACATATAATAATATCAATACAGATATTCTTTTTTTAAAAAAAAATCAAATAATATCATCTTCGGTGAGAAGTATTGTCCCAAAATGTATGAATTTTTAATAAAAACGCCCAAGTTGTCACAAATTTTAATTTGTTTAAAGAACAATTATAAATTCATTTTATGAAATACCATGTTTGTGATAAAAACATACTTTTTCAATAGAGCATTTTCTCCCCATCACACTCTGCCTGAAAAGAGACGTGTTAACAGGTTCGTTGCTGATTCTTGCGATATCACATGATGGACAACTTTCCAACAATTTATATCAATGATAAGTGGATTATCCTCAGTTAGAATATCCAAGTTCCTCAGAATAAGATGTTTAACAGATGATGATCCGAATGAAAACCTGTACTTTTACTGTCGAAAGGATGACACTAAAACTCAGACAGGCATGATTGGAGGATAGCACAGTTCTTTAGCGGCTGAACTCTCATGCGTTAGACTCGTACAACTCCACCTTCTGGTTCTGTATATGAGACGACAGCTATTTTTGAGTATACAGTATGGGACCCAAAATTCGGCACTCACGGGACCGACGAAATTACGTATTTCGGAATTTGCCGAAATTCAATGCCAATATGGCGCCCATATATTACTATAATTCAATTATGCTGTTAATTTCAGAAAAACCAATAAATTTAGCTAACTTTCAATTGTAGATTATGATGGGGTGAATCTAAAACTGTCCCATCTTTAGAAATTTCATTAATAAAAACAATAAATTTCATTAATTAAAATAATAATCTATATGATATAATCAAGAAGAAATAATCCGAAGAAATAATTCAAGATGAAATAATCCAAATCTTTTGAAAAAGAAATAATCGTTTCTTCTTTGGCGCGAGATCATGGTTCTCGTTTTTTTCTTTTACATAACATTTTGTTCTAACAAAAGATGCTCACCTCCCTTAAAAAAAAAAAAAAAAAAAAAAGCTAACAAGAAACTACAAAAAAAGTAACAAATTATGCTAATTAAAAGTAACAATTAATGCTAATTAACAATGAATAACTTCAAAAAAGAAGCAAACAACTAATAATGATAAAAAAAAATTTAAAAAAAAAACAAGTTAACAAGGAACAAAAAAAAAAGTAACAGTTAATAACTAATAAAAAGATAAATAAATCAAATAAAAAGATAAATAAATCAAATAAAAAAAAAGCAATTCATTTTGTACACCATGTGAGAAAGAAGTTTCAATGTCAAAAGGGTGTGGCTAATTTATGGTCAAACAGGAGAGAGAAATGTGGGGACAAACCAGTAAAGCACTTGCACAGCTGTCAAGATTGATTGATCAGTTTCTCCCAACCTGAATTTGTTTATTTTGTTCATTAGAAATGCAGATGTTTTGTTTGACACAGATTTATTTTTTTTTCTTCATGTTTTTATTTTTAAAAGATAGAATATAGTTACTTACTTCATGAGAAAAAAATTCCAAATAAAAAGAGAACATGACTGACTTTTTTTTTCTCTTATCAATAAAAATTTCTTAAAAAAAAAGAAAAGAAAAAAAAAGGTCGGATTAAGTGCCGAATTTTGGGGTCCTGTCGGATTTCAGGATGACGGATTAGGGGTCCCATAGTGTATTATAAGTCAACTAAAAAGTGGATCAGTTAATTTGGTCTTATATTGGTTGGTTGAGTAGGGTTGTTGGAGGAGACAGATCCTCAGCCTCTTCCTCTAGTCAGGATGTAGGTTGGCTTTGGATTGCTTATTCAGCATTGCTGGGTAGATGAGCAATAAACTGCATTTATTGTGAGTTTGTGCTGAATTTCTAGTTCCAGAGGTGGCAGATTTGTACCATCAAAAGTACATAACTTTGTTTTTGTAATCTAAAAGTACATCTTTACAGGTTACATTTCTTAACTAACTGCTTTAACCTAATTTAAGTAACTGACAATTTTGGTGTTTTTATTGGATACTACATTTCTCACACAAGATATTATTAAATTTGAAAAAAAAAAAAAAAAAAAATTATTTAGTGTCCACGTGAATTGGCCATATCACTTTTTTAAAAAGTTGAAAAACGAAGAATTCGTTTGGCACTAAATGACGAGCATTACTGCGTTTGAAGTAAATTCAATAAAATAACAGCAATAAAAGATTTATTAATTGACAATTAAAAACAATTAGAAAAACAAAAGGGACCTCAGCAGCTAGGATGCAATATCTGAAAAAAAAAACTCTCACAGAGGAAAAACCAGCCTAATGCACCGTTTCTTCTTCATCTACTCTTCTTTCTAGATCCGTGGTGGCTCAGGAGATAGAGTGTTCGCCTTCCAATGAGGAGAACCGGGTTTGAATCACACCGATGGCTGGTCGATACGAATTAAGCACCCGGCTAGCATCAACTACACTGCTGACGTAAAATATTCTCAATGGTAGACGGATCATGGGTTAGAGTCCCCTTGCCTCAGGCTAACCGTGGAAGGTTTTTCTCTCCCTGTAAAGCAAATGCAGGTTAATTCCATCTAAAAGTCCTCCACAAAGGCAAATTTCTCCTAATAGGAGATCCAGAGCCGTGATGGCTCAGGTGACAGAACGTTCTCCTTCCAATGAGGTGAACTGGGGTTTGATCTCGGCGATGGCTGGTCGATATGAATTCCACATCCAGCTTGCACCGACCACAGTGCTGACGAGAAATATTCTCAGTGGTAGACGGATCATGGGTTAGAGTCCCCTTGCCGTCAGGCTAATTGTGGGAAGTTCTCGTGGTGTTCCTCTCCACGTAATGCAAATACGGGTTAGTTTCATCAAAAAGTCCTCCATGAAGGCAAATTTCTCCCAATACTTGATCCAAGAGTTCCCTTGTCATCTGGATTGGTTTCGAAATTACAAGGATATGGTACATTAGTAGTCGTAAACCCAAAAATTGGGTCTAATTATTTAATTAGGTGCGTGATTAACTCGCTCTCTGCTCCTAAGCCAACCACTACAGACCTAAAATGTCACGATAATTTTTAGAAAAAGCAAAACAATTAATTTGGTGCAATTTTCGGTAATACACATTTCAATAGCAAGCTTGAAAAAAGAAAGTTTAGTCTAATCTTAACTATTCTTAAAAGGAGTCTTATAAATCTACATAGAAAAACAGTTACCATTACTACAGCTTCGGCTACACTAGTCAAGACATCAGGCCGCAATGAATGGAAAAGTATTTTTTGTTCAGTCAGGGCAAACAGTAGGATTTTAAGGCATTTGTCAGGTCCAACATTTTTCAGTAACTGAATAAAAGAAGCACCCCTAAAAAGAACAAAATTAAAAATGTGCAGACAAATTTCAATACCTTTTAATCAAATTGGAATTTCGGAAAAAAAAAACTCTGTGTTAAGTTCATAAACAAATGTGGCCCTTTCAGCATGCCAAATTTCAACTCAGTAGTTGAATTCTTAAAGACTGCAGAGGAGCCCCGTATGGTATTTTTAACAACAAGTTTAACAGTTAATAATTCTCGAACAAATAATAGAATGTTATTTTTTTATAGCTTCGTAATTCCTGAACACTCTTCTACACGCCTTAGCCCCGTGGCGGAATCGTGGCAACACGGCGACATTGTCACAGCATGTTACTGAGTTTCATTTGGGAAGTAAAAAATTTTGGTTTTCTTTTCTGCAGAAATTTTCGAAAGCTTCTATCTTCTCTTTGCCAGATTCTCTCTATGCCATTATTCTTGCACATCGAAGTGGAAAAAAAAAGCTTGTAACTTTTCTATTTTTATTTGTGAATAATGAAGTAAAAAGTTTGGTTTTCTTTTCTGCAAAAATATTAATTCTTTTTTTTGTTGTTGCAGTTATTGCTATTGATTTCCACATAGTTTTTAAAATCCAATATTTTTAATCTCATATTATTTATTACAACAACTGAATCCTGAAATGAAAAAACACATTTGTAATACCCTTTTAAAAGAGTTCGATTTGGTATGACTTCGCCGTTCTTCTTTTTTTTCCGTTAGTTACTGCTATGGATTTCACTATTTTTAATTTGTTTTTAAATTTGATGATGACTTACAAAGAATGAAAAAGGGAACAATTAGTGTGTTTTCTCCCTACAAAATGTGAGAATAAAGCTCATAATAATATAATAAAAAATATTACACATTCAATTTTAAAAATTAAATTATTTTTTCCGAAAAGTTTTTTTCTTCTCAAGTTGACGCTTTTACTTCAAATTAGTAACATATATATTTGCTATTATTAAAAGTATCTTGCAGAAAGATATTAATGCTGGAGAGATTTGTCGCAGAAAGCCCGAAAAAATTCTGCCACAGGACGTCTTAGTAATTTTAAGTTTCTAAGTCTTATATTTGGGCAGCAAAGCAAAATGTAACGTTAAGTTAAGTTAAACACAAAATACTCGGCAACAGCCCCTATGATTTTTTTCCTATACGGAGAGATGATTACCTGAATATTGATCAAACATATTTCAATAAGACACCTAAACTAAATTCTATTTGCACTTACGTAAGTGGCAGCTGTGTATCTCCTGGTTGGGCAAGCGTAATAGTATAATCAGAAAGCTAGAGGAAAAATACAACATTATCATTCATTTGCCTTCACTAGAAAATAATTTTTTTTTTTAAAAAGTAATATGTCTTTAAATTTAATACAGGGTGCGTAGCCAAATGTTACAACAAAAAATAACCACTTTTGAAGCACTCTAAAAATATTTTTAAGCTACATGCATTAACAAAATGCAAAGTAATTTTTAAAGACTTTACGTGATCATGATAAAACAACTAATTTCTGACAAAGAACTCTTCTCTTGATTACATTAGTCATTATAAAATGATCAAGAGATTTTTTGATTCGATATCAGAGGGTAAAAAAATGAAGCCTGAAATTGAGAATATCTTGCAAAATGTAGCAGAGTTGCACATGAGAGGGCAATAATCTCACCGAACTCAGCTAAGCAGACGCACAAGCGGACTCACAAGTATTTAATCAAATATGTAAAATTATTGGCGTTTTATATGTAAAATTATTGGCGTTATTCATACATTATGGAACGAGAGTATACCAAAATAGATCGTGGTTGAATGAATTGTGAAAATGTTGAATAGAACAAGGAGAAAAGCACACTTTTGCATAATACGTGGCGAAAATCGATATGGTAAAGAAAAAAAAATCTCATTTTGAAAAAGGGAAAATTAAGCACTTTTTAAAAACACCCAATGAAAAAAGTACATTTAAAGGCTTTTAAAAATCGAAAATAAGCAACTTTAAGCACTTTTTGAAAACACTATGCACACTGATATATTTAGTTACTTTTCTTTATCACAAAGCTGTATATAATACTGAATCATTAGCTGATTGAATTAATTTTTTAGATAACATAAATAAATACAAAATTAGTATAAATTAGGCATTAGGATAAATGAGATATTTAGACAATAGTATAAACTAAACCTTTAAAATTTGGAGAACTATAAAATTATGGCATACCTGAATTAAAATCCTTGGTCTTTGTACTGATGGGAAAGGAACTTCAAGCATGAAATGAGATATTATTCTAGAAAATAAAAAAAAGACTATTTTATTCTAGTAAAACATTGCTTAAATTATTAAATATTGTTTTTCTTTAAATTATTGTTAAAAATTTTAAGATATATAAGACGTACAATTAAAAGAAAAATGCATTCAATATCAATTTATTAATATAGATTTTAAGCTAAGATACTTTTATTTTCAACATATTTCAGAAATCTGCAAAAAAACAAATAAACATTGCAAAATCTGAAAAAAATTTCCATGTGTTTTCCCTGTACAGTCCGCGAAAAAAAAAGAAAAAAAAGATATCACCCTGAATAACTTTTGTTCTAATGATCGGATTTTCACGAACTAAGTGTCTATCTTAATGGTTCCTGGGGGTGACCTCAAATATGTTAATTAATTAGAGCTAACTATTAATTAAGTTATGAAATCAGACACAAAAACGTACTTTCTCTGAATAAACATATAAATAAACATATAACATAAACTTCCCTTAGAGAATTATATTCGAAATACTGGTTTTAAGAACTTTAGAAGAATCTTTAGGAGGGAAGTAGCTCTGGCATCCTTTAAAAAAGTGATTGCATTTACAATGCGAACAAAACAAGAGTTGAATACTGCCCTTAAACGGGAAAATCTTTGGCCCTAAAAATTATAAGGATTTATATTCTAAAGTACCTCCATTAGTATTTTATCTTACTGAAGAATTCTTTGAGATATTACAGAATCAGTCCCTGCTATATATTTCATTGGAAAAAGCGATTCGTGAAATAAAATGATGACTGCAGCAACATTTTACAAATATATTGCAAATGCTTCTACCCATGGCTAATTAAAAATGATATCAAAATTTCCTATTTTGCTTCTTCTGGAAGGGTATAAATCTCATATCAATTTGAAACTGAGCAAGTTTTGTTCACCAAAACAAATTTTCTGGTTTAGTTTTCTACCTAATTCATGGAAATCTCCCGTTAGAAAAACAATATGCCGAGAAAATTTTACATCCATTTTTAAATAAGATTTTGAGGCATTAACTGATGAAAAAATGCTTTTATGAAAAGCGATATTTTTCCATTCAATGTAGAAAACGTTGACTTTGTCAAATGCATGCAAAACAGACACCAAGAGTTAATGAGCAAGACAGCTTATCAACAAAACATATGCTTTGAGAGTAACGATTCACTATTTCTTCAGAAGCTTGAGAAGGAAATCTCACATGTTTCAAATTTTTAAAGGAACATTGACAGAAAACTTTAATCTCCCAAGTATCCAATAGCCTGTGCTTTTCTGAATATGGAAGAATTTATTTCATAAAGAACATTTGGTTAATCAAATTTTGGCACGGAAGCTGATACAACTAACCCTGATAATGAAAGTATCTTGAAAACTGATTTTGAGATAAGTTCTCTTGAGGCATTGTTAGTTGCAAAAATAAAAGCACTGCTGAAGACCCACTAGAATAAGTCAATGAGAGATAGATTTTACTCAAACTTCGAAACTCCTTTTTCTCATTTATTATCCAGTGAGGAATTCTAGAAATGGTACTGGAAAATCAAAAGAAATTTCGAAGATACATTTACATTGGGCAAAAATTTGGAAAAAAGAGGAAGGTTAAATCAAAAGAAATAAATTACTTTTTTGCATTAACTTCAGAAAAAGAACGAAAATTTAAAGAGATTGAAAGAGCCGAAAAAGAAAGTTAAAGCAGAAAGTATGATGAAGAGAAAAAAAATACTTAAAAAGATTTTAAAAAAAAGCTTAAAAAAATATGGGGAAAAGAGATCTAATTATAATAATAATAAAAACATCATCGGATTACACAATGATAAACATTCATAATTTAGAACGGACTATTAAACTACGAGAAAAAAAATTAAAATTTTTTTTTTAAAATTATGTATTCAAACATATTTTACTTCCCATTCCATGACTGAAAAAAAAGTAACATTTTCCACGTTAACTGTGGTTATATGTTGGAATTCCAAGAAACATTTAGACATTTGTGTGGCCTATGGATTCCTAACGAGCATCAAACATTATCAAAATTAAGTGTTCATTTACTGGAAAATTTAGTGTTTATTCACTGGTAAGAACTGTTCCTTCCTCTCGGCGGAGCCTGTAACCCCCAGAGAGCGCTTCCCCAGGTGGCGGATCGGGGAATGCCTCCTTAGGTTTACCATAGGGTGGTAGGAGTAAAATAAAATAGCTCCCGCAGACCAACAGGCAGAAGTCCAACCTTTCCGGAGGCAATGGCACCCCTCCTCTATGAATAGTGCAATACATAGTGCAATCGACCATGTTACCGCGTCCGGGGTAGCCGACGCGCCAAGAGCTGATGTCCAGGCACTTGGCGAGAAGTTTGCGACGAAGACACTCAATATCCTACAACTGAACATTAATGGTACGCAGAGGAAAACAGAGGAACTTTCAGACATTCTTCACCAAAACAACATTCATGTGGCTTGCCTGCAAGAAACCAAACTTAATCCAAATCTCACGTTAAAAATCAAAGGATACACCACAACTCGGAAAGACAGGATAGATTGATCTGGTGGGGGACTTGCTTTTCTTATCAAACAAGATATTAAATTTAAGATCTATCCAGCTAGAGTAAATAGAAACTCTGACAGTAATACTGAAGCACAAGCTATTGACATCTTCCTACCTCAGCATTCACTGAGAATAGGCAATGTCTATCATCCAGATGCCACGGAAATAAATGTCGACCTTCTAAATAATCTTGTGAACACAACGAATGATACAAATATTATGCTTGGAGATTTCAATGCCAAAAGTCCGTCGTGGGGAAATTCTACACTAGATCAGAAGGGCTCTCAAGTTGAAGATCTACTCTTCGACCTAAACCTCTCAATCTTAAACAATAATCAAGCTACTCACGTCTCAAAAACCAATGGCACCGCGTCAGCTCTTGACATCACTACCATTAACCATCAACATGAACAGCTTACCTCTTGAAAAGTTCTTGACAGTGCTATCAGCGACCACTTCCCTATTCTCACCAGGGTCAACTTGATAATTGATGTGCATGAGCAAAGGAAAAGATCCTGGAACTTCAGGAAAGCAGACTGGCCAATCTTCACATCCAAACTTGAAGAATTCTGTGACCTAATGAAGCCATCATCTTTTAACAACATGGTTACTTCCTTCAACTCTTGTATACTAAAATCCGCAAAACTTTCCATTCCTCGGGGAAAAAGGAAAACCAACTGGGTGCCCTACTGGAAAGATAACCACATTGAAGAGCTTCTTTCGGAGAGAGATGCTCTGTGTGCAGAGGTTCAGAACAATAACACTGAAGAGAACAGAAGAAAATATGTCAACAGCTGTCACAAAGTTGAAGAGGAGATTTCCTTGTGCAAACGTCAGAAATGGGAGGATTTTTGCGCTACCTTAGATCCTAGAAAAACATCAAAACAATGGAATATCATTAGGACTCCGAATAGTCAAGTTTCACAACCACCGCAAGATGCTCAGGAGACAAACTCCATAAACTGCCGTGGAAAACCAGCTCACACGAATTCTGAATGTGCTAATATGCTAGCTGAATTCTATGCCAACAACAGCAAACTCGTTTTCAGCAAAACAGACAAAGCCACCCTTAAGACCACTAGAAGACTAATTAAAAGCTCTTATAAGCCCCCTAAGAACAACATCTTCTCTGACCTTTTCAGAATTGAAGAACTCGACTCTGCCCTCTAAAAACTTGATCCAAAGAAAGCTCCAGGTGCCGACCTCATCTTTGGAAGCATGATTCAACACTTTGGTGAAAAAGCCAAAAGGCAGTTACTTGATATCTTTATCCTTTCCTGGACTTCTGGCAAGCTCCCAAAAATTTGGAAAACCTCTATTATTATTCCGATTCTGAAAGCAGGCAAAAGCGCCTCTGACTGCAAAAGCTAATATCACTCACCAGTACACTGTGCAAGCTTATGGAGCGAATCATACACTCCAGAATCATGAACTGGCTAATTGAGGGAAAAAATTACATTTTTATCAGACAGCCTACCGAGCTCATCACAGCACAGTGGATCAGCTCTTTTACCTTTGCCAATCAATTATTGATGGACTACAGAAAAAACCTCATGAAAAAACAGTCGCTGTTTTTCTCGACCTGTCTTCTGCTTTCGACCGTGTTTGGCAACACAAACTCGTCCACATTGCCCATAAAGTCGGCATCGAAGGACATGCCCTTGCTTGGATGAATGACTTCTTGAGGAACAGACATTTCTTGGTCCGATTCAATGGTGAACTCTCTAAGACTCGCAAAATGAATGCTGGTGTTCCACAAGGCTCTGTCTTGAGCCATCTACTCTTTCTTCTCTATATGAACACAATCGATGCCTACATCCATAAGAGTACCAGGATCGCCTCCTATGCAGATGATATTGCCATCTGGAGCACAAATCATGATCTCAAAACTTCTCAGAAATTTCTGAATCTCAGCTTGAAAGGCATTGCAACATGGGCTAACGATCTCAAACTTACCATAAACCCTAATAAGTCTAACTACTGTGTTTTCTCAACCGACAGGAAAAATCGCGGAACCTTCCAGCCGGTCTTAAAAATTCAAAACACCATGATTGGACGTGTTGAAAATCCTAAATATCTGGGAGTGATCTTAGACCCAGAACTGAGATTTACCAAACACATCAAAACCACAGCAAATAATGGTCTAAAGAAATTGAATGTCCTCCGAAAACTTTCCGGCACAAACTGGGGTTCGAGATCATCAACATTAAAAAATACGTACTGCACCGTCATCAGGCCAGTACTTGAGTATTGCTCCCGTATTTGGGCACATGCTGCTGAATGTGTTAAAGACACTTTGGACTCAGTCCAACATGGAGGATNAATGTCCTCCGAAAACTTTCCGGCACAAACTGGGGCTCGAGATCATCAACATTAAAAAATACGTACTGCACCATCATCAGGCCAGTACTTGAGTATTGCTCCCGTATTTGGGCACATGCTGCTGAATGTGTTAAAGACACTTTGGACTCAGTCCAACATGGAGGATCAAAAATCATCATTGGTGCAGTGTCCTCCACTAACAACATCAAGGCCGAACTTGAATGCGGTCTTGTTTCCCTTGAAAACAGACGGAAACTTGCCACTCTAAAATTCACCAACAAAATCAGAAGCCACAATAGAGAACATATAGCTCGCAGAGTTATTGATACTTGGACAGGCAGATCAAGGCTTCAGAGATCATCAACGCTGCAATTTGACAGAGACATCAGAGAGGTTGTCTGTCTTGACCACTCATCTCTGGACATTATTCAAGAGCCTCTCTTTCCTTCCAAGCCCCCTATGTAAATTAAAATCAATACTAACCTACTTGAACCATGCTCAAAAAAGGAACCAACCCGAGTATTATTACAAAAAGGTGAAGACACTGTTTGTTCACTTTCCAGGGAAAACAGCGTAATAGTCTACACAGATGGTTCCTCTGATATTGACTGCAATAGAGGTGGTGCTGGCATCTCCATCACTTACCCCTCAGGAAATGGCTTCAAACTCAAAATACCCACTGGCCAAATTGCTTCAAACTTCACCAGCGAAGAGGCTCTTGCCTATTGTCGCTCCCATTCTCTAAAATGACTCAATAAAAGAAATTGAGATTTTCTCAGACTCAAAATCAGCACTCAAAGCCATACATAACGGTAAAACATCAATAACGTAAGAAATTAATACCCTTCTTCATTCATTAAATATCCGTTGTACTCTCCAGTGGATCCCAGCTCATGTTGGAATCGAGGGGAACGAATGTGCAGATGCCCTTGCAAAGGAAGCAAGCGACGAAGATCAACCTCGAGCCATCACCTGTGCAGATGCGAATGCTGTCGCCAGACGAAGGATATACAACCAGCATTTTAGCAAAGCAATAATCCCCGATCTAAACTGCCCAAGAAACCTCTCCTCTACAATAGCTAAGTTACGTACTGGACATTTCAAGGGCAGGAAGATCTCACGCACCCATATAAAATTCTATCCCATCTGCAAGTAGTGTCCTCATTTGCAACTAACTCCAGACCATGTTTTTGACTGCCAGGCCATTATTGGCTCCCTCTTTCAACTTGGAGCACCTCCCATCGAAATTCTCCATGGCCATCGGGCTCCAGAACTTGCAAACCTTGTTATCAAGACTTTTGGAGGACTCTAATCTTTGCACTAGCATAGACACGACAACAACAATAACTCTTCCTTCACTTGGTTAACTTACTACTTATTATTTAACCCCTTACCTGCCGAGTAAAATTTACGTGATTCATTTTCGCTCAAGTGCGCATTGTTATGCGGTGCTTTGGTGGGGGAAAAAGATTAATGCTTTGCAATTTAAAAACAGTTTACTTTCACAAGAGAAGAAAAAGAAGAAAATACAAAACTTTAATTAAAGAATAAAAATACAATATAAAAGATGTTAAAACTTAGCTGTTGTATGATAAATCCTGAAACATGGTTGGACACATAAACCAACATCACATTCATTGCACTGATAGCGGAATTCTTGACGAATATACACGGGAAACGAAAGTGAAAGAAGAATAAAACAGACCTTACTCAAATAGAAACACACAAGCAATAAATATTATGATATAAGTTTTCAAACACATCCCTTTCCCATTCCCCCTCCTCCGAAATTGGTAATACATTCATTGCAAACACATTCATTGGCAAACACTTTCAAGATCATTTTACTGTATTCACAAGTTGGGGGTGTAGTTCTATTTATAGCAGTGCAATGCAAAGCATCGTACTTCGGGAAAGCGTATATATACGCCTGTGGCAGTTAACTCATCATCTGACCGAGATGTATAAATACGCCCGTGGCAGTTAAGGGGTTAACCAAAAGCTTAAAACAATATTATGTAACTTATCTAATTTTTTTTACATAATTTGCATTTAATAACAAACATGTTGACCCCATCATTTATCTAAAATTAAAAATTTTGAAATTTTTTTTTAAAGGCAAGCTAAGCTGAAGTGTTCCTTCACTTGTTAGTTAACCCTATAAGATGTTGAGAAATTTGCGATGTTGTGAGAGATGCTTAAAAATGTTGACTACATATTTTTATTAATATTTATAAAATATATATTCAAGAAATTGATAAATATTTTATTCCAAATCTATTCATACGTATGTATATTATTGAAATTGTATCAGTTATTGAGAGAAAAAAAACTAAAAAATAATCACAATCTGTTGTATAATCATATTCTATCAGAAGCATGCTTTTATAAAACTCGACATTCGTTGAATAAAATATTTTTTATTCAAATTTCTTCACTAAATTGCAAATAGATTTTTAGAAGACTAAAAAAGAAACACCGTATTTCACAGTTTAAAAAAATAAAAAGATTAGCAAATGATTATTAGCGAAAAAAGTATGAATGAAATTTTACGCTATGCATGCTAAATCAAGTTCCTCGTAAATTTATCACATTTTAATATTAATCGCCCCATTTAATTATTTCTTCATTGTTGCCAAATTATTTTTTTCAAAATAATTAATTTTAATTTTTCTCATCTTCTAATAAATAAAAACAGTTGAAACTTTAGATTTTTAAGCTGAAAAATATGTAGATTAATATGGTATAAAAATATCCATACTTTATAATTCAAAATTTTTTCATCCTCAATTTAACTAAATAAAAAATAATTATTAAAAATTATTTTTTTCATGAAATTATCTTTATGTAAATGAGTTTTATGAGTGGGTGTAATTTTTTTTAAATTGCTTCATTAGTTTTTAAAATATGACTGAAAACGCAAAAAGCTAAATTAACAATAAGGGGTCCAAACTTTTAATTGCTCTCCTGACCAAACTATGGGGACCACATTTCCCAGATAGCGGCTACCCCCTATATTTCGAAGATAAGGAATCCAAATATGTAAAAAAAAATTTTTGTTTATTCAGAGAAAGTACGTTTTTGTGTCTGATTTCATAACTTAATTAATAGTTTATACTAATTAATTAGCATATTTGAGGTCACCCCCAGGAACCATTAAGATTGACACTTAGTTCGTGAAAATCCGATCATTAGAACGAAAGTTATTCAGGGTGATATATTTTTTTTTTTCGGACTGTACATATTATACACAATATATTAAGAGGAAATACACAATCACTATGCTCATGTATGATCTATATTAGGATAACTATATAGGTATTAACTGCAGGAAAAACTTAGAAATAAGGAACAGTTCAACAAACTACTTTAAAAAATGTTATAGTAAATGAAGTAGCATAGTATAGCTGAGCTATATTTAAATATCACACGCATCACGCTTTGAGAGCATTAAAAAAAAATGCTGACCCCTTGAGAAATAAAATTCTCTGTATTTTCACAGTTTATGAGGAATTAATTCAAAACTCCCTGCTACTTCAGATTATTTTTAAACTCCCTGTATAGAAACCCTGCAATATACGTGGAAATACCCACATAGATTGCTTCTACAGTACTTATTGCGATTATGAAACAACAAAAAATGTTTTAAATGAGACATAAATAGTATTACCTTTCTAAGGGTACTCTATGCGGCCCTGAAACAGACATTCGATGCAAGTATCTGAGAAATTTTTCGAAGGTATCAAAAAAAGGCCATCGTGATAACAAACATATAGACTTATTGGTTTGTAAGCATTTGTTTCTTTTAAGTTCTTCACTGGAGAAATGAAGGTGCACTTTCATTGTTTCGTTCAATTTCAGCTCCGGAAAAGGTTCATAGAATGTAACAGCCGCACCATAAACCTAAATAAAAAATTTAATTAGTAATTTGATTACAAACAGAAAAAAATCAAGAACACTTCTACCTAATAGGACTGGGCAATAAATCGATGCATAGGAAACTATTGATTCTATGCATTCATCACCGATCAGATGTTTGGATTGACAATTTTTCTAGGTATTGGAAATTGTGATTTACTGAGATGTGTACGATATTTCCCGATGTCTACACACGCAATGTTGAGAGTTGTTCTCTATAGCACATCGTGAAGAGCATTTTCCTCCCTAAGTGTGCAGCAATAGCTGTGGCAATGATCGTTATTTCCCCCCATCTTTTTTACATCATGACTCATCGTTTTGCTCACATGATAAATCCGAATGTGATTGAGAATCAAAGTGTTGATGAATCTCATAGTAATGGAAGGGTTTTCTATTAATAGCGTGTGTGTGCAAATCCTGTTGATTTTTTACAATCAACCCAAATTCTGTTGATTTTCTAATAATCAATCCAGCGTTTAATGTTTTTTAACTGCTATTCCGCAATCATCCACCTCTTTAAATATTGAGAAATAATTACAAAAAATGCAACGTTTATTTTTAAAAAATGCCACTTACTAATTTCGAACTTACGCAGTACTAAATGTAAAACATTAATGAACCGAAACACAGTGATGCATCAAAATATCACGATATTAGCATGCCGATACATCACAATGCCAAAATCTTAAAATCGCCCAGTCCTACTACCTACCATTTAAAGTTTAAAGAAAGCATTTCTAAAACAGCCCATAGAGGGTGGAGGAAGTATATTTCATACACAAGAGAATGATGCGTCAGTGTGATCAGCATTGCACTTTCCAGATACACTGTGAAACAATCAGAAGCTGCTGTCAGGAATCCAACACCAGTTCTTCACCATTATAGCTAAGTACCACTGTAGCATCAAGGCTCAATATGTTAAAAAGTTAAATTTTAACTATAAAAATATATACTTTTTCAAACCAGAAATTTTTTTTTATTAAAATGCAAAATAAGATTGAACCACCAAGTTTTTACTTCATATTTTATTTATACAGTGAAGCCTCTCGAGAGCGACCACTATCCATTCCACAGTAAAATGGTCGTTAATAGGTTAGTCGTTCTTAGAAGTTACCTCCATTGACTTCAAAATTGTTATCGAAGGTGAGTAATTTTTTGCAAATTATTTTAATTTTAGTTTATGCAATTTCCTTTGTGCGGAAATGCCATTTCTGTTGGCGTCATGGAAAGAAGGATCTGGTATAAATTCAACTTTGCACGAACTATAAAGTATGTTTTTGAGTCTGATTTTGTAATTTGAAATATCGTTTGCATTAATTAATTAGAATATTTGCGATCACCCCCTCCAACATTTAAGATTGAGTCCTAGAATGTAGAGATTAGATCATTAGATTAAAAGTTATTCAGGTTGGTCTGTTTTTTGTTTTTTACAATGCACTTTATTTCTTGGATGATGTAAAAAAGTACTGATCACTTAAATCACAAATATTTGACAATTTCCTAGCATTTCTTAAATCACTGTCGAGAAAAGAATAGAGTTTGAAAGTTAAATGAACAAATTCGCAAAATGTGTTTTAGAATAAAAAACTATTTCATGCAAGCATGAATTAAAAGTTCTAAATATGTCCGCATATTTAACCAAGACAATTTTTTTTATTTGAAACCACTTTGTATATTGGTGAAAATTAAGTTCTCCAGTTAAGTTTGTCCTCTAAAAGTAGCGAAATAGTCACTACATTTCTAAAATAGTTTGTAGTCACTACATTAAAAAAAAGTAGTTGTAGTGGTAGTTAACTACAATTGTAATAAAGTAGTTATAATTAACTACAAAGAAAATGTAGTTTTTCCAACCCCTGATTCCCTCTGTCTCACTCACTGCTTGACCATTTTATTTAACGATGGAACTTAAATTTCTGATCAAGTAAAAAAACAAATTAAAGGAATTCAAATGTGGATTTATATGCTAAATTCCCATGCCCACAATGTCTTTGAACTGGTTAAAGAGGACACAACTGTGAAACACCCCCTTTATATTGAACTCACCGGTACCAGATTTCAATGTTAAATACATTCAATCAATGTTATATACATACATTTTATGTTATATACATTTTCAATGTTATATATAATGTTATATTCATTGATACTCTTAATGAGAGCATTTGTGGCAATTTAGACCCTTTTCACCACATCTCACTTGCACACATCCTAAAAAGGATGTTTATTTATAAGAAAATTTGATTATTTTCCATTGAACTTCTCACTTCAAAATAATTTTCTAATAGTCATTCTCAATATTTATAATAGTTTTTTTATGTTATAATTACAATGAAAAATATAATTCCGCTTATTATAATTATTTTCAACCAATTAAACTTATTTGCTTTCATCAAAAACAAAATTAGAACAACACTATACACAGCCCCAGACATTTAAATTAATGTCATTTACATTAAATATAAATCTGACTGATAAAAAATTATTTTAAAACTATTTTACATAAAACAATGAAACAAATTTCATTCTTCACATAAAATATTTTCAAAATAAGTAGTTTTATAATTTTTTTATTAATGTTTCTACAATTGCAGAAAAATTTTGTGCTTAAAGTTGGAATTTCAACAAAAGAAGTATGATCATTCAGGGTTGCATAGTAGAAAAATATTGGAAACCACTGCCGAAGGTAATAAATGTATCATGATTTATGATCAATAATTAATTAAAAAAAAATCTTAAAACACTACATAAAATCCAAGGCAAATAAAAAGATTTACTTTTTCAGCTGAGTAAGAAGTTAAAACAAAGGTTGAGAATACAGGTTTAGGCTGCTGAGCTTTTTTAGGCCAACATTCAATTGTTGCACCCATTGGTAGACAAAAAAGTGGAACGGAAGGAGGTAGAGCAAAATTATCATAATCTTCTATGGGGAAACGTCCCAGAATACCTAAAACAATGAAAGCACATTAAATAGTGTAATATTATTTTTAAAAAAAGTTCACATGATACAATTCCGGGAAGAAGAAATACTGTGAAAAAGGGTAAACACAGAAAACGTTAAAGTGGAGGGGGAGTAACTTTCAGTCACACAAGAGAAACAAAAGAGAACCCAATCAGCATGCCGCACCTTTATGCTTAATAGCTAGCCAATGATGGAGAGACAATAAGAATTTGTCACTTCCCCGCCCTCAACTTGAATGACAAATAGGGGGAAAATGAATTTTCTTCTCCACCTACCCACCTTAATGAATGACGGGAATTTTCCCTTCTTGCTTGAATCTTTCTAGTTCAAAATGGCAGAGAGAACAATTAATATTTTCATAACTGTAATTTTTTTTCATTTTCTATATTTTAAGCAATAATTATTTATTTCTAATATTTTGTTTATGATTGATTAGATATCATTCCAATACTAAAGCATTATTGCCTGAAAAATAATGCTTATTTATTTTTTGCTTCTTAGATTCAGATCGTTTTAAGCCTTGTTTATCTTGGGGGTCTATTATACGCAAAAATCTAATATCCGAACTTCCAAAAGTCCCGTCGATTTTGGATATGTGACTTTCCACTGTATTGGGTTCTTAAATCACGTAAATAAGGATCGCGATGCAAGATTTTAAAACAGTGAAAATACAAATCGCATCGCATAACTTTTAAATCAGATAAATATAAAAATTGATGTTTGATTTTAAAATCACATGAATAAGAATCACGATATTAGCAGTTTTCGTGATATTAGTAGTCAAATATTCAAAATGGCGAAAATCCGCCACACCAAAAGAGTAAAATTGGCAGGAAGAATCACGTGTATGTATACATCTTGCTAACGTGATTTAACCGGTGACATATATTTTAGAACAATGGATTAAAAATGGAATTTTTTTTTTTACAGCTATTCAATATTTTATAAAATCAATATTCTTCATGTTATTATAAAAGTTAGAAAATGGTTCTTATTACACAAATAAAATTTTAAATGCAATAACTACTGTATTTATAATTTTTACATACACATAAAAAAGTAAAGGATTACACACACATCTTATTCAATTAGAGCAAATTAAACAAAATATTGAACCTAAATATAACTAGTATAATATAATATACATCCCAAAACACGGTACAGCACACAAACCCATATCACACTCTTTGCCCTCAACTGAAGTCGTAATAGGTGAAAAACTACGACCTCTAATGCCATCTATTGGGAAAATAGTGAATTAAATATCCTAAAGTAGAAACGAACTCAACTCGGGCTTCACAAAATTGAAACGTTAATTTTTCTCCTCCCCGAAGGCATCACAAATACTGCACATAGTAGTTGCCCGAACTGGATTCGAGCGACACTGGCAAGGGGTTAACAAAAGTTTTAACATTACGTCGGATTATAAGATTTTGATTTGCGAAAGTCCACGAACCAGTGGAATTCCGTGCGTTCATAGAAAACTCACATGTCTGGTTTCTAAAGCCAGACGAACAATACAAAAAACCCGGAATTCCGGGGTAAGCCCAGAATATAATCACCCCTGATGTAAGTAAAAACATTTTTTTCTTATTATAAATTTTAAGTTAAACAAATAATAAAAGAATTTTATATCCTGATGAGTCACAGAGCGATATATTTGATATCCTGATGTGTCATCATCATCAGGATATCCTTATGATGACTCTTCAGGATATTAAGTCACATTTGATGAATCTCTCTTCCTTCAGATAGATTTTCTTTAAAATGTGTGATAAAACTTGCTATGTATTATTTTGTAAATAGGAAATAGTTCACTAGGCAGAAATTTCCAGAAAGTTGACAAAATTTTACGGAAATGCAGTGAATCGAAACATTCAGTTTAAAAATGGGGCGAAATGGTACTTGCTTGAAAATGGTGTGACATGTAGATGGAAAAAAAAATTGAAATGAAATTAAAAGTTATGAAACTAACTGCTCAGGTCATAAATCAGTTGCAACTTATCAGCTCTTATCAATATCACATAAAATCAAGATAAATGTTTTGATTGCAATAATATTTCTAAATTAACTTCAAAGATCATTATTATACTGATACAAAAATTATACTTTTTCCAAGATCATAATTATACTGAAACTAAAGACACAGGAACTCGTTAATTACGTTGAATGAAAAACGTAATTTCAGTTTTATAATCTGCAAAAAACATCCTGCTCTCATAAAAAAAGAATATCTGATCTGATTAATTTTAAGTAGTCACATGCAAGTTCGGTTTGATGAATTCTATTGCGAATAAAATACTAACTATAAATGAAAACTTACCAGGTTTATAACACAATAGATCTGGCCGATTCATGGATTTTTTATAGCATAAATAGACATCTGAACCAAGCTATTAAAAAAAATAAAATTTTTTATTTTGTATTAGTTTAAGGATAAAAAAAAATTACACTTCAAGTAATAATACCTACACACAAATATAATAGCCAGTTTAATGACAGAAATCTAAACTCACAAGAAAAAAAATGCCTCTTAGCATCAAATCTTCAATACTTCTTTTATGGATTAATACCATATACGTTTAAATATAACAAATTATAGTTTCAATCGAAATCAAATAAGATCTTCAATAATAAAAAATCTCAGTCTCAATAACCCCAATAATAACTACTGCTTACAATTTTAGTAAAATTTAACATGTTTTAAGAACAATACATTGCAAAAATGTTTGTAAAGAAAAAACTTGTCTATTTGGATGACGTTATTGTTTGCATGGATCTCCATGTTTCGATCCGTTTGTTTCAGTTTATAACGCCTATGAAAACTGTTTCAATCCAAAAAGCCATGTTGCACAAACAAATGAACAAAGGTAAATACAAGCAATAGTGAATTGTCTGAAAGCTGCGATTAATTTATAAAGAAAGAGCAGCAAAATATAAACTAGACAGAAATTTCAAGATTATGGCAGATTTTTTAAAATCAAAAGCAGCAATTGTAAATAGGGTGCGTAGCCAAATCTTTCCCCCAAAAATAAGCACCTTTTCAGTACTTTTTAAGCTCTAAAAAAATATTTTTAAGTACTATATACATTAACAAAATGCAAAATAATTTTCAAAGACTTCACAAGATCATGATAAAATAAATAGTTTCTGAGAAAGAACTCTTTTCTTGATCATATTAGCTACCATAAAAAGATCGAGAGATTTTTCGGTTCGATTTCAGAGGGTGGAAAATGAAGCCTGAAATTGATAATATCTTGCAAAATGCAGCAGAGTTGCTTATGAGAGTGCTAGAATTTCACCAAACCCAGCTCAGTAGACGCACACATGGACTAGCAAGTATTTTATCAAACATGTAAAATTATTGGCGTTTTTATAAGCTATGGATTGACGTTAATGCCGAAGTTGATTGTGGTTGAATGAATTGTGAATAACGTTGAATAGAACAATGTAAAAAGCACGCTTTTGCATAATACGTGGCGAAAATCAACATGGTAAAGAAAAAATCTCATTTTCGAAAAGGGAAAATTAAGCACTTTTTAAAAACACCCCATGAAAAAGTACCTTCAAGGGCTTTAAAAAAAAATAAAAATAAGCACCTTTAAGCACTTTTTAAGAACTCCACGCACCATGGTAAATTATAAGTCAACAATTTATGCTTAACTCACAAGCTATTAAAATAAATGTGCATTAAGAATTTTGTGTTACAGCTTATGAAAGTATTATTTAACACATATTTTATAGCTAAAAAAATAACAAATTATTTACTATCTTAAAAAAGACATAATACAGGAGTCATATTTAACATCCGAGAAAAATTTTTCTCATTATCCAAATGCACAATTCTAAACAGTAATGTGCACAGCTATACAATGTGTTAGCTGAAAGGAAAAAAAAACACTTGAGAATAATAATGGCAGATAAAGAAGGAAAAAAAAACGCCAATAAAATCTTTAAAGTATGACAAATTTAAAGTCATATGCATCATTATCGATATAAAACCATTATCCATGACGCATTCCATGATAGCATTATGGATCATTATGATAAATATACATAAAACATCTTCAAATCACACTCTCGGTTTTAAATATTTCTTAACATCGTAAAGAATTTCAAACATAAGACTGTTTATGGCTAATCACCTCCCAACCTTTAAAAAAAAATTAAGATTTTTATTCTTTACCAAAAATAAACCAAAATCCAAACTTGACTCATTTTTCTTCAATCTTTTATGCTTTCCTTTTGAGCTGAAAAATTAACAATTGCGAAAAATAAAAAGTTAGAACAATATTTAAAAAATTGTAAAAAAAAAATAATTCTAGGTTCAATTTTTCTAGGTCAACAACTTTTTCAGGTTTTTAACTAAAAGTTTTGCTTTTATTGAGCATTCCCTGATTTTCCATGCTAATTTGAAATCTGCTGAGTTCTCCCAGTTCCCTGTAACTTTTAGCAAAATACTATACTTTACAGCAGTTTTTAAGATAACTTTAGAAAAACACTGAGTGATTTCACACAAAACAGCCATACTATTTTCCATTTCAAAATAAGCTGGATCCTTAAAACCTGTTGTAGACCCCTGAAAATACTCAACTAAACTGAAAAAGATATTCATGGATTTAAAATCCTGAGATCTTAACTATTTTTAATTGTAAAATTGATATTTTTAAATAAAAATAGATATAAGACGTTTCATCAAAATGTTTGAGTTTCAATTAACTGCAAAATAGGAATTTAATTAAGAATTAGAATTTAATCAACAAACCAAAGTAATCTGCAAAACGATCAAAGAATTTCCCCTCCACATATTTTGTGAAGTTTAAACATTTTATTTGTAAATAGCATTTTATTTTTAAACATAATTATTTAAACTTATATTCTCATGAATTCAGAAAAAAAATCTCTACTTGTTAGGTCATATTTCCTAAAAATATAATGAGCATTTTAAAATAGCATTTACTATTATAATGGACTCCTATTCAAAAACAGCATAGAAGGAGAAAAAATATGAAAAATAATTATAAATATAGAACCAATCGAATGTTTCAGTTTTATAACATGCATATTGTTTAAAATCAGTTATACATTGTGCTAAGTACTAACATCACAGATATACACTGTGCTAAGTGAGCAAGCAGGGTTACCACTGAAATCTGGAGAAAAATTAATACCCTGTGTTTTCCCTGTATATATTATACACAATATATTGAAAACTTAAGAAAGAAAAAAAAAATAAACACTGAACATACTTAAATAATGCTATTAGTAAATGAAATAGTTTAGTATAGTTAAAATATCTTTAAATATCTCATAGATCAAGCTTTGAGTGGTCGAAATTTTTTAAAAGACGAAAATAAGAAACAAAATTCCTTGTTCGCAAAAAAAAAATCAGAATTTCCTGCATTTTCCCCGTTAATTTAGGTGGTTTTTAAATTCCCTGTATTTTCCAGGTTTTCCTTATTCCCGTTGTGAAGTGGCAACCCTTGCAAGGAAAAAAAAAAAAAGATCTTACAAATTACATTAAAAATGAAGAAAAAAAAGAGAAATAAACTAAGTAAAAAGATGACAAGCTTTAGGGTCATGTCAACTCAAGAAAGCAAATTTTCTGAAAGGTAAATTATGAAGATAATTTCAATCACAAGTGACTAAAAAGTAATATATTAAAAGTAGTATTTAACATATATCATACAGTATTTCAAACCATTAGAGAAGAAAATAAAAGATACTTACCATTCCTTTATTTAAATTTTTGTTGATTTTACAAAATGCATGAGGTGGATTTTCATTCTAAAAAATAATTTAATTCTTAATATTTTTTTTAAAAATTTTAAATATATAAATCTAGGGGATAAAATAAAATATTTATCCTATTACAACATTAATGTTCTTATGGCATAAAAATTAGTAAATAATTCAAATTTACTTCCATTTAAATTATGGAAATTCTGATAAAATGTACTAATTTCAATTTATAATTATACACACATTAATATTCACAACATAGTTTCTTAGTATATTTTTTTAATACAGGTTGAGTCTAAATTGTTTGGTGGATGGCTAAGAAAATGAGAAAAGTAACATAACTTAAGATGCAGGATTATACCTGTGGGAAATGGCTAAAAGCAAGAATTAGATTAGCCTGACAGGAGCGGTTGAAATGCTTGTTTGAGAAAACTAACATAAAATTGAAATTAACAGTGAATAAATATGAAAACATTTATTGGTTAACAGCCTCAGAAAATTTAGATTATGCAATGTTGGTCCAGGTGCACCAAAAAGATGTCTAATAATAGAAAAATTGTTTTTACTTGGTTTAAATGTTTACAGGAAGGAAAGTAAACCACGCTTGGCTTATGACAAAGGAAATTGGATTTGGCACTAAACATGTGTGGCATACCACACATATTTAGTGCCAAAATGCATCAAGAAAACTAACATAAAATTGAAATTAACAGTGAATAAATATGAAAACATTTATTGGTTAACAGCCTCAGAAAATTTAGATTATGCAATGTTGGTCCAGGTGCACCAAAAAGATGTCTAATAATAGAAAAATTGTTTTTACTTGGTTTAAATGTTTACAGGAAGGAAAGTAAACCACGCTTGGCTTATGACAAAGGAAATTGGATTTGGCACTAAACATGTGTGGCATACCAAACATATTTAGTGCCAAAATGCATCGAGAAAACTAACATAAAATTTAAATTAACAGTGAATAAATATGAAAACATTTATTGGTTAACAGCCTCAGAAAAAGTAGATTATGCAATTATGAATGAGAAATTTGTCTTTGTGGAGGACTTTCTGATGAAACTAACCTGCATTTGCGTTACATGGACAGGAAAACCACGAAGACCTCCCACGGTTAGCCTGACGGCAAAGGGACTCTAACCCATGATCTGGCTACCACTTACGATATTTTATGTGCACTATGGTCGGTGCGAAACAGGTGCAGAATTCGGAGCGACCAGCTATTGCTGGGATTCGAATACGGTTCACCTCATTGGAAGGCGAAAGCTTTATCCCTTGAGCCACCATGACTCTTTATCAAAGATTGTCATAAGTGCAGAATGGCTAATTGGTGTTGCTTGTTATTTTGATTTCATGTTTGATTTCATGTCATTTCTTGTTCATAAAAGAAAATTATGGCAATAGTAGAAAAATATTCACTGGCCGTAAACAATAATAAAAAGACTTCATAAGTATGTACCCTTTTTCAGATTCACTCACATGCATCTATTGCATCACAAATAGAAACATAAAAATTAAAATACACCCTCTAACACATATTAATTTATTGAAAAAAATAAATTTAATAAACTACAGAGGCAAATTTTATAAACTAATAAGAAAAACTGCAAATGACGCAATGAAATTTAGCATTATATAAACCAAACTTCTATCAATTATGAAAAATTTAATAAACAGGTTAAAGGTTACATATTTACTCTATATTATATAAAAAGTTAAAAGCAAAAAAAACGAAGAAAAGAAGTTATTAAAGTGAATTTAGATTACTACAGAGAATATTTAACATTCACAATCTTGAATAAGTATGTTATTTTACGAGAGCAACACAGAAAAGAACACCAAACTAAATTAGTATATCATCCCGTTACACTCTATTGACCGCAATGCTCAGCTGTCCAAACAATAATTTTTTAAACATGGTTTTTTTTAACTTTTTCCTCCAAGAAAAACAAAAAAGTCACATTTTAATTGTCTCACACTTGAAGCAAAGCTATAATTTTAAACTACATGTGCCACTTTGCTATGAAAAATTAACAAGGCTTTAGAACAGACAAATAACTTAAATATTTTAAAAGTGGGCATACTTTTTAAAAATTGCCAATTTAGCGACATTTTTCCACCTAGATTAAAACTATCCAAACAAATGCCTTACTCTCATTTTTTGCAATTTTTAAGAGCTAAGGTAATGCAGCATCGGAGATTTTAAAATAGAGCATAAATGCTTTTCATTTTCCCAAAACTGTGGCTTTTCACCATATTGATGTTTTCTGTTATATTCAGAATAAGCATAGATGGAGCTGGCTAAAAATAGGCCTAACTTAACAGTCACGAATAACTGTTACAAACTCACAGCAGCAATTTAAAAAAATTAATGAAAAAAAAATTAATAGTAAAATTTTCATTAGTTAAAAAAAAAGCATCATTTCATGTGACTAAGCTTTTAAAAAAGCAGCCTTAATGCTAGTTCGTATCATATTTTAGAGGCCTGAACAAACAAACCACCATTATTTTAAAGACCTTTCATGTTGTTACCTTCTTTAAAATAAATCAGCAGGAAAAAAAAAGAAGAAAAAAAAAACCTTTTAACCCCTTCCTTTTCGCTCCCGTGAAAATGATGGGGTGAGGTTTTGCCCTCTATTTCTTGCTCCCGTGAAATTCTCGGGTTAGAGTGTTCAATAGTAACATGCCAATAAGAATAAACTTATTCATTTCTTTTGCCCAGGAAAACATTTTATTTCTAATTTTACACACCAGATGGCAGTACCATGATATTTTTAAGGTAATTGTAGATAGTTTATTTTAAACTAGATGTAGGAACTAATCAAATACGTGTATTATGCAAAATAGGCACTTTTACAACCGTTTTCTTGAAAATTAAGCGATCGTTAAGAGGTTAACACAATAAAAAGCTATTTTTAAAAAATTTTAACCATGTGTTTAAACTGATATCGGAAGCTCATTAAAAAGAGACAATAAAAGCAAAATTAAATTACCTTATTTGCTAATATAATACATATATCTGTAACAACTAGTTGATTGCAGGGAGCATTTTCAGGTGCCCTCCGATATGTGATAAAAGTTTTTGAACCACTATTATTTACATTCGCTAAATGACCACCTGGTGTATTCAGGACCACTTCACTGTCAGCCATGACTTTCTCCTTTCCTTCATAAAGTACCCTGAATAAAGTTTAATCAAATTAATACAGCTGTAAACAATAAAAAATCTTTATTTTTCAGAAATTAATAAAATAGATGTTTTGAGAAAGACAACTGCCCATTATTTTAACTTACTCGGGTACTACTTTGAAATTAAAGTTGCTTCTAAACATACCATCAAAATGTGCAAAGCATACCATTAAAATGCACTAAGCATACATCAAGCTATGCAAAGTTGTGTTGCTTCTAAATGACACAACTTTGCTAAATTGGTCCCTTTAAAACTAGTCCCTTTAAAATTAACAACTTACCTTAATTGATTTTCACAAAACTAAGTCACCCATCTCTCTCAGGAAAATATGCCAAAGCAGCTTTCAGTTGCCAGTAAGAACCCTACTTTAAATTGCTATTTTGTTAAAACATAAAAATTATTTTAAATAACTTAATATAATAGCTAATTAATGAAATTAAAATTGTGTATTAAACAATTAGCACTAAACAAATTAGCTTTCAAATTGCTATTAAGACCAAAAAAAATTAACATTTTAAATTAGGTGTTCTAAATTTTAATGAAAGTGGAGGGTCAATATTATTGGTCTACAAGAAAGATCGTATTTCATAGGTTCGAAAAAAAAGGAAGGAAAGCTGCTCCAAAGCTATCGTGAAAAAATTGCTATGAATTTCGAAGCTGTTGTGAAACAAGTTTTGAATGTCGAGAGATAAAGATTTGTGATATATTAAGGATGTTCACTTGAGGTAGGTGGTAGGCAATGTAAAGGGTTAATGAGAATGCTCTCATTTTATTAGTTTTAGGTATCGTCCGTGATCTTAATAATCAATCAGAGACAATCAAAAATATAGGCTGAATATGTAATTAGCAATATTTACAAAAATATAGTTATATGGTATCTTCATATTTCAAGAGATTTTATCAGTCCAAAAAATTTGTAAATTCTTTTCAATAAGAAAGAAACTGAGTTGTAAAATAAGATGCAACTGCTGTATTAAACTGTATTCTCGGCAAATACAAGGCTTTTGTTGCTAGAATCAGGGGAGAAGAAAAGACTGTAAATAAGGTTTCTTTAAATGGAAACCAAACTGTAATAACAGGGCACGTAGCCAGATTTTTCAACAAAAAATAAACTCTTAAGTACTTTTTAAGCACTCAAAAAAATTTTTTAATCACTCTCCAAAAAAAAAAATCTTAATCAGGATCTGTGTAGTAATCAAGTCCCCCCCCCCCGTCCAATCATTTAAAGTTCTTAATTTATTAACATAAAATCAATAAAATTCAAAAACTTTACATAATCATGATAAAATAACTAGTTTCTGATAAATATTGCAGATGTAATTGCGAAAATCATGCATTTTTTGCAATTTAGAACGACAATCGATACGGCAACGAAAAAAACTCTTTAAAAGATAAAAAAAATTAAGCACTTTTTACAAACCCAGAATATAAAAAAAAACACCTTAAAAAATTTAATAAAAAATAAGCACCCTGTTCACATTTTAAGAGATTTTAGACAGTCCAGAAAATTATTACATTTATTTTTTAATAAGAAAAAAACTGAGTTGTAAAATAGGATGCGCTGCTATAATAAACTGTATTGCCTGCAAATTCAAGGTTTTTGCTGCTAGAGTCGGGGAAAAAGACCGCAATGAAGTTTTTTTTAAAAATGGAAACTAAACTGTAATAAATAACACAATCTAAAAATTGCACTCACCCCACATCCACGAGAGGGGGTTTATCTCTACCCCGGCGGAAACAGAAAAAGATGTTTGGACTGCGTAGACTTCCATGGTTTAAATCAGCAGGAAAACCAAGAGGAGTGCATTCAATGCAAGTATAACCTTTTGGCACTGTTTCTCCCTGGCTACGTATAATAACGGTCACATCAGTTATGGGCAGCAAAGATTGTGTAGATTTGGGACTGTTTCCATCACGAGAAAACTCTTCGAGGGGTGAAGCATTGTCTAGAAGACCTGCAACTACAAAGTAGTCGGCTACTCTTTTATCCTCCATTCTTCAAAATTCAGCATCCTTGACACCCTGCAATAAAGTTCACCTTTATTGGTATTTGGCAGAAGAAGGTTGGTCTAATTTCAAAATAAAAATAAAACATAAATATCTTCACAAAACAAAACAAACAATTGTAAAATAATTTTAACAGATAAAAAAAAATTTTTTTTTAAAAGGAAAAGCGATTTGTTGCTTTCATAGAAAGTGTCAGGAAAATACATGAACCTGGATATGGGACTCTGTATTAATTAATGTTTTAATAAATAATTATTTTATTATCAGCTATTTAACAAAAGGAACAACACTCTGTATCAATTAATGATTTTTAATAAATAATAATTTTATTATCAGCTATTTAACAAAATGAACAACACAGATTATTTTTTTTAAAAAAATTAAAAATTTCAATTTTAAGGTTTTTATAAATAAAAATGTGCTGTTGTGCCACAGGCCCCTGGTTCGATCCTGGGGCCGGACAGCCACTCAGCCTTTCATCCCTTCAGTGGGTCGATAAATGAGTACCAAGCATGCTTGGGAACTAAACACTGGGGGTTCCGCGTTCGGCTGACCACCTGACCGGAACATCTGCTC